GTACATGGTGATCGTCTACCTGAAGACTCAACTCAAACCTAGAGAGGCAAACCAGAGACAAGAAAAGGTAGAGACAGAGCCCTAAGAACATTGTTCTGAGTCTCTGCTTACACGGAGTCCCTGAACTCAGTTGTCTTCCTTTTCCTGCTTGCCTTCTTTGGGTTTTATTCCTGCCACCGAGGAAGATCTAATTAATATTAAAGGAAAGAGGTGAGGAATTTGAAAGGGAAGTCATTATTTGAACTCACAGCTGAAATTAGGGGAGATGGAAATACGTGTGCCCTTTGGAAGAAATGCAATGGGCACGTGTAAAGGACAAAGCAATCTATAAAGGGAGGGTTATGCTGAGAAGCAGCAGATGTGAAGGGAGGAATTTCACTCAGAACAGAGATCTGGCAGCAGTAAAGGAGGTTTTGACGAACTCTGCAGCCGATTCTGAAGCACACCACTGTTCTAGTGTTTCAATACATAATACACCTGTGCTTCCTTACTATCAACTTTCTGAAAAAAGCCCACTTGTGAAATTTATGTCAATAATGCTGGACTCACAGGTGCAGAGATAGTAAACAAAGGATTATCCTTACTGGTGGGAAAGTCAGACAGGCTACCTGAAGGATGAAGGGTGTATCTCTGAGATTTGTACCATGTAGCTAATAGATGCTGATTATGATGAAAAGATTTTAAAATTCAGTGAAAACAATTAATTCCATCCTGCACAATCCACTGTTTCCCAAAAGGAAATAGGAGTAAGACTTTCGGCCATAAAGAGGTTTATCTTTCACAATACTAGAATCTTTCTTGGAGCTTAACTTTCCACCCTCTCCTACCCCCTTTCCCAAATTGTCTTCTAAAACTGTATGAAAATCAAAAACACTGCCTGCATAATTTTTAGACTTTTTTTGGTTTTCCTATTATTAGAGGTATGAGACATAAAACGACCCTCTCAAGTGCTTCCCTTCTTTAGACTGGACAAAATCTGCATGTTTCTCTCTCCTACCCACAAAGCTTCAACAGTTACCTAATCACATTCTGGCAAATATTGAGTCAGGGGCCTCTATGTTTGTGTTCAGTATCCATGGATGTCTGATCTTATTCTGTGGATCAAAAACGTACAATTTATTTTCCTTTGCAGCTGTGGTCAGAACATCTTGGTAATTTGCATCTGTATCCAAGGAGAGTGGTACAGAGGATATGTGTGGACAAGACACCACCGGTTTTGGGAAGGAGCTCCTCATCTGTGAGTACAGTGAACATTAAGGGCGCACAACAGGAGGTGACACTTCAGAGGCCTTCAAGTTTCCCCTAGAACAGCACTTTCTAACTCTAACACAAAATTCAATGGTAGATTCAAGAGGAAAAACTGGGCTCAAGTTCTTAATGCTATCATTTAGTAGCCTATCTGAAGAAGTCTCTGACCATGCCATCCAGATTGCATAAAGAGCAACAAGACTTACATCTTTAAGGTACTTTCGGAATCTACTAAGTATGTCAAGGTGGTTAACCCCCCAACACAATCTATGCATCTACTGTCTCAGCTACCTAAACCAAACAGTACTTCCTGATGAGGGTTTCCCAGGACTTGTGCCATCTCTCTTCCAACAGTTCTACATTAAACTACCACCTACTGGTTCTGTACCTACAATCATCCTATATTGGTCCGTAAAGACACAATTCTATCAGATGCATTTATCTTTTCTTGCTGGTGAATGAACAAAAAGTACCTGCTGGCCAAAGATAAATTGCATCCCTGCTTTGAAAACCTTTGGGTACTAACTTGGAAATGCCACATTCATAGTTGCCTCTGAATCCCCTTTTAACTCCCCAAAGAAATAAGTAGCCTGAATAGCAGATGACTGGACAGTAAGCACGAAGTAAAGATCACACAGTGGACACCTCTATTTGGTTCCAGATCTAGTAGCCAGCCTGTATTTCTAACTCTAATTGCATTACCTGAGCACACACTTGCTGGTAGATATGGAGGAGCAGTTTGGAAACAGCCAGTCTATCCCAGACCTCTTAGTTACGATCCGGCAGCAGTGAGTGCGTAATAGAGATACCCCAGGAGATGAAAGATCTGGGCTCCTGGCCAACATTCTTCACTTATTTACCACATGACCTCAGGAAACTCCCTACATTGAGCCAAGTTGCTTTCTCAAGAGTCAAACAGAGATAAATTAACTGCCCTGCATATAGAACACACTTACTATAATGTTCAAAAGAGAAAGTGAAAATGTTTTATAGAATTGTTAATCAGCTTAGCCAAAAGTCTTCCAAAGAGAAGACAGGGACTATGAATCAGGAGTCAAAGGCTTAGGGAGAGCAATCAGTTTCAAACAACTTTTCCAAGGCATGAATATCACGGTAAAAGCCACTAAAAAACTCTTGACATTGTGAAATAACAATCCTATAAGTGAGGGTACATCACCAAGTGGACAAAGATTTAAAAACAGATAAAAGAGAAGATTAGACGTTCAGTAGTTTTAATGAATCCACTTCCTTTATTGCAGTGACCTCTGTACAAGCAGCAACTGCAATTTTCCACGTTAAAACGTTAGAAAAGCATGTGTGTGACAGTTATAGTACAGTATTATCAAAATATTACATTTTCAAACTTAGTAGATCAACATCCACCAGAGCTCAAATCTTTAAATTATTTCCATAGTCTTTAAAAATATGTAACGTCAGAAAGCATATAAAAAGAATGTAAAAGGAAACCTAAAGTACAAATGAAATAATGTAACAAATAAATATTTGATTTAATTAACCGTTAATAATCAGCTTAACACCACCATTCTCTCTAAACCCAATGAGTATTTACCTATAGGAATAATGAACTGTCCAATGCCATTGCATATTTATTTCCAAGTGATCACCAATGATTAGAACTAAAAAAACAAAAATTTGGCATTAAAATAATCAAATTCAGCATAAATAAAACAGAGTAGAATAGCTTCAACACTAGCTAGCATCTCTAAGAATTGCTGAAATTTATTAGAGTACTACAACAACCTTGGAAATTTTGACCTGGTGTCTAGTGTTAAGTCAAAGTAATGCATTTTTTTCAAAGTGAAAAGCTTCTTACATTATTTCACAGACAATATTACCCTCCCCCCATTATGCATATTTAGATATATTTTATGTACTTTATACACATATGTATGATGCATGACATTTGGTTCCTGCAGTATAGATCACAATGATGATTTCCTGAATGGGAAAAATTCAAAAACAAACAAACAAAAAATAACAAGTGTACCTGTGCACATTTCAAGATAGCAGCACTCAATTCATGCCCTATTATCCATTTAAAAAGTTCAAACACGATATTGTTTACTGAATAATATGACATTTCTAATGTCATTCCTCCAAAACACTACACAACCTGCAATAAATGGAACAATGCTGTAAGTTATAATGTAGGGAAAAATAATTGGAAAAATAATTACTTCATTTTAACATTCTGAATTCAAAATTATCATTGGATCTCCACTTTTCTATTCACTTAGTTTATGCTCACGCAGCAAAAATACTGCACAATTGACAACAGTAGTAATTTTGGGGATTTCTATCAAGATTCATGAAAACCTGCATATATTCTTCACCACCGAGACTTATGCCAATGAACTCCATGAACAGTACTGTAGCAGACTTTTTCTCCATTTCCTAACTGAACGGTAACTGTGTCAAGTGTATTACATACTCTTCAAATGATCACCTTTGTTCTCCAGGAAACCTTTATCTTTCAATCTCATTTTGAGCTTATGTTTTCTCAAAAAAAAATTTTAACCTAATCAATCTTGGATCACTTTAAAATGCAAAAACACTAGCAACATAAATGTCATTATATATACACATATGCATCTGTGTATGCATATACATATACATACACACATACAGATATGTAGACATCTATCCCTTGAAATGTTTTTAGGAAATCCTTCCTTGAATAAAAATGAAAAACTTCACATTGATAATTGTATACAAAGCTTTTAGTAACAGTGCGTACGCACTGTCAAAATTGTACTAGTAGACTATGATGTCAAAACAGACATTCCAAAAGCACAAACTGGCAGTTTTTCTTAACACAAAAGTTTTAAAGTATTAAGAATGGATTAAATTTAAATGTTCAGAATAATCTGTTCAAACCTGAGTATATTAATTAAGACTAAGTGTACTTGACAACTGAATGAATTAAGCCTAAAAACATTTCACTAAGAAACCAGTGGTCCATTTAACCATTTGATGAAACATTAAATATTTTAATGATTTAGAAATGATGGTGTAGTGGAATTCCACGTCTTGTTTATTGAAATAGTCTATTTAATGACATTGCTTTATCTAATTTTCCTCGAGAAAAATCTTTTAGCATTTCTTAAAAGTCCCTCAAGATTTGAGGAAAACTATAACTTAGGACAGATCTCCCTTCTAATAGATATAAATGATTTTGAGGACTTTGGTCTAAAGAATGACAACAGGAGATTTTTCAGAATGGTATACAGAAGTACTGGATAAATCTTCAACCTTCCCTAAGATTTCAAGTAAAAATACATATAATACCCAATTCGAGATTTTAAAAAAAGAAAAAAAAAAAAAGAAAGGTTTATTGGGTCTTTTTCCCCTAGATCTACATTTTATATATACCTCATACAAACCTAACCTTGGGGTCACTTTTGGGTTATCATTTTTTTAAAATTTTTCATTAACTTGCCCTAATTCTCATCTTTAGTATCTAACAGATAAATTTACAAAAGTAATAGAAAACATACAGTACTCAACACTAACTGGTCAATGGAAGAAGAAAAGCAGTGTCCATTTCATTTTAAGGTGGAAGAGTCTAGAAATAAAAATAAGAGTTGACAGAAAAATTTGACATTCTATAAATTTATAAAAGAGGATATATGGATGAAATTTGGTTAATTTCAGAAGGCACCTCAAGGCTAAAGGCTTTTTTGTACTCCTTTCGTCAATCAAAAAATAACACACTTTTATTGCTATTCAAGTAGCAAAGGAAAACTTTACTCTCATGAGCTTCAGTCCAACAAGGAATCACCATCATTCATTCAGATTGAAATACAGATTTGACTAAAACTGAAGTCTCCACACACACATCAATGGAGCAACTTCCCTGTGTGCTTTCAAATTAATGAAATAGTGAAAGAAAAGTCACAGTTTGCCATTGGGATGTTAATGTGTCACTGAAGATTTCAGTTACTCCATTGGGCACTGAAGTACCATCTGGAGGGCTGTCCACTGTGTTGGAACACTTAAGAATAGAAGGTAAGGACACTCTGATGATTCCCACGGACTAGGAGAATTGGCGGTAGGTCCTTTGATAGAGCTTCTAACCAGGCCATATAGAGAGCACTTGACACAGCACCTTTCCTCGCAACTGGGAGACTCCTGGTATCAAAAAGAGAAAGGAAATTAGGCAATGCATTTAAGTTCAAAAAAGAAAATATAATACAAATTATATATGGAGTTCCTAATAATAGTAACTGAAAATTACTTTGGTTAGTTACACATGGTTTTTGAGCACGGGCAAATTCTGAACATAGTGTAGCAATGACTATATTCATGTATCACTACTCCCTTTTACATGTCTGAACAAAAGATTTTTAAAAATTTATCCATAAGAATTGAAATGAATATTTCTATAAACTATAGCACATTTTGTATCTAACGCTAAACCTCACATTATCCCTTCTTCAATAAGGATAGAATTCTTATAGGAGAAAGGGATGTTTCTATATGAATTTTGAAAGCAGAAACTACACATGGATAAACAAAATTCAAACGTAATTACTTCTATGTATTAATTTTCAACTTCTCTTATTTCTCTGGACTTTAATTTTTTAATGTCTATTTTTGAGAGAGAGATAAAGCACGAGTAGGGGAGGGGCAGTGAGAGGGGGGACAGAGGATCTGAAGCAGGATCCCTACTGACAGCAGTGAGCCCAATATGGGGCTCGAACCCACGAACCCTGAGATCATGACCTGAGCTGAAGTCAGACACTCAATGGTCTGAGCCACTCAACTGTCTGGGCTTTCATTTCTATTTGCAGATAGTGGTAGCAGTTACCAGTTGCCCTTTAGAGGGTTTCTTTCTAGACTTCTATATTCTAGCATATTCCATTACAATGTCTGATCATTAGCAGCAAAACGTGAAATTTTCTGGTGTATTGTTTTTTTGTTAATCAAAGTAACAATTCTTTAGTATTATTTTATTTCATCATTTGGAATGTTTTTGGAGGCCTGAGCTTTCTTTTTCCTTAAACCTATTGAAGAATCCTAGGCTCCATGAAAGAAAATTCTGGCTGAAATAGTATCTACTGAATCTGATTTAGTGGGGGGGGTGGGGTGGTGGGGGGGTGGGGGGGAGGGAGGGGAGCCAGAGAGCGTTAGCATCTATATTCAATGCAAGAAAAAAGTGTCTGTATGTAAAGTTTGTGTGTGGAAATTTGGGGGTGCAGATTCAGATAGGAACCACTTTTTACATTAAATCCCCAAAGTAACTATGGTATTATTTCTATGATGATGTTGCCTGGGGTCCAGATTTTTTTAAGATTTTTGAAAAATCTAAGGCAAGTTTAAAAATAAAAAATTGATTTGGAGGGGGCGCCTGGGTGGCTCAGTCATTAAACATCTGGCTCAGGTCCTGATCTCAAATTCATGAGTTCAAGTCCCGCATCAGATGAGCTTGAGCGCCGCTCAAGGTGAGCCAGGCTTCTCTCTCTGCCCCTCACTCACTTGTGCCTCTCTCTCTCTCTCTCTCTCTCTCTCTTTCTCAGAAAAAAATTACTTTAAGTACAATCTACCCCTCAATGTCAGACTCAGATTCACAACCCCAGGATCAAGAAAGGCATGCTCTACTGACTCAGCCAGCCGGGTGCCTCTCCACCATCCCGGGATCAAAGTTTAACTTGAGGCCCTCATACCCCAAATGCTTGATGGCTATGCTGGGATGTCCTCAAAGCCAAGGAAGTTTTAAAAGATGGGAAAAAGGATAACGAAAAATTCCAGAATAAATTATTATGGTAAACAATTACTTAGATTCATATAAGTTTTAGATTTTTGCTTTTCTTTCCTACCTTAAATGATTTTTTCATATGATTAAAGCAAAGTATATTGACAAAAATTTGTTTTTTCCTACTTATAACCACTATATCATTCCTGGGAGATATATCAGTATGTACTTGGTATGAAAATTAATCCTAACTGCATTATCATAAAATGAATACCCAAGAAATTCGTACTATAGACTTTACTTACATGACAATGATATTAGCTGTACTTGAATGTTCCTTTAATAATTCATTTAACCTGATCTGCCGATAAGTCTGAAAGGAAATAGGACAAAGTCATTCCTACACCATTTGAAAAATGGAATCTACTGTGGTTCACAGAACTATACAGAAGAAAACAGAAAGGAACCAAAATAACTTTGGTGTATTAAAAATATCTGTTCCCTAATTTAAAAAAAAGCTAATGATTTACACACATTCTTCACATTCAGATCCAACTTAAAGGAGACTGAATTTACAAAACTGGTACCTCCCATAACAAATTACAGTTCTTGATACTTAGATTTTATGTATCTTTTTAAAAAAAATCAATGGAAGATTAAAGAAAAGAAAGCAGAAGAGAAGGAATACCTTGGTCTTATAAAGTTCAAGCTCATTATCTGTTATTCGCCATGGTTCATCTTCTTTCATTTTGTCAGCAATATCTTGTTCTTTGTCATCTTCGTGAAGTCTATACGGCTCAATCATTTCATCAAATACTACAATACTTAAAAAAAAAAATACTGACCATCACAATCTGAATTACCTAACACTAAGATCATAAATGCTGAATTAGAAATTGAGAAGTCAGCATTTTCCATTTCTTGTGCTCACTTCCACACCCTAATTATAACCATCTCTTTGGCAACTTATTCAGAAAAGAGCCATCTCTAGTTTCTCAAACTGATGAGAAATTTAGAACCATATTCACAATAACAGAATTGTTATTTGAACTGCTAACAATGATCTCTCTATATCTACTCCCTGCTCCCATGCCTACCCCCCTCAACCTACATACATTTTCATCACAGTAGCTAAAATGATCCTTTTGAGCATTATGTCAAATTGTGTTGTTCCTTTACTCAAAATATTCAAAACCTTTTTTAGTTTAAGTACCACTGAATAAAAGGACTAGTAGGAGTAGAAAAGGTACTATAATATTCTGAAGGGAGGAACGCACAGATATTAAACATTTAAGAAGATGCAGAATTGGTATCTAGATGCAAAGATAATTTAATAGGATGAAACACAGTAAAAGAACACAAACAACATTTTAATCCTTTAGGAATGTGAAAAATATTTTTTGGTATAAAGTCTCATATAAAGTCCCTGGTATGTATCATTTTATAACAGGAAATAAATCCTTCCCTGATAACAAGCTTAGAAAGTCTAACTTATTATATTCTATTTATAAATTCCTTGCGCTGATGCACAGGGGCACACGTACCCCAATGTTCACAGCAGCACTCTCAACAATAGCCAAAACATGGAAAGAACCTAAGTGTCCATCAAGGACGAATGGATCAAGAAGATGTGGTTTATCTATACGATGGAATATTACATGGCAATGAGATAGAATGAAATCTGGCCATGTGTAGCAACATGGATGGACCTTGAGGGTGTTATGCTGAGCGAAATAAGTCAGGCAGAGAAGGACAGATACCATATGTTTGCACGTATAGGAGGATTAGGAGGAACTTAACGGAGGACCATGGGGGAGAAGAAGGGGAAAACTAGTTGGGGAGAGGGTGGGAGGCAAACCATGAGAGACTCTCGAATGCTGAGAACAAACTGAGGGCTGATGGGGGTTGGGAGGAGGGGAAGGGGGTGATGGGCATGGAGGAGGGCACTTGTGGGGATGAGCACTGGGTGTTATATATGAAAACCAACTTGACAATAAACTATTTAAGAAAAAATAATTTAGTAAGGGTACAAAATATGTGAACACATGATCAGTCAAACTGATCTTGGAGACACTTACAGAACTATACCTAAAAATAGCAGAATAAATTTTTTCAAGCATAAAAAAAAAATTCCTTAAACCAGCGTCATCATTTATTCAACAACTGCTTGAGAATAATTAAAATTATGACTGGTAACATTAATATACATATTATTTTAACCACCTCTAGGTACCATTTTCAGGTAGATTATTCCATGAGTGTACTTTTCTTTGACTCTTGAGAATTCTGAATGCAATTATTATAAGCTAATTCTTGATTCTCCTATTTTAGTTATAAAGCAAAATAGTGAAAAGTAATACATAATGTGGAGTAGAGGCTGAGTGAGTGGTGGTAGTGAATATGGGCATGAACAGTGGAAATTTAAAAAACCATGTGGAATTTCTGTGGTATTAGGATTTTCAGAAACTACTTGTAAAACTACTTGTAAAGCATTAATTGAATTCTCTGAAAACTGAAAGCCCTTTAGACTTACTTTGGTATCACCTATAGGCATTCCAACTCTCAGTACCAGACTGAAGAAAGTTGACTTCACATGTAACTAACAGCAGTTAAAACCCCCTGGGTAATTAGCTTAAGTTGAATGATCTGTTACTGGAATATCTGAGTAGGTCATCCATAAAAGGATCAGAAATCTATACAGAGTAATTTATCCAACAACTTACTTTTCTTTCTTTGGTTTAGTATTAATATCTCCTAAGACCATGATATCGGAGAAGTCTATCCGGAACTTACTAAGCAAAGTAGCCATCCTAAAACAAAAACAAAAAGCACTGAGATACATAAAAGCTGCATGTAAATATTTTTATTCTATTTCAGGCTGAATCACTCTATCTGAAAAACATCATTTACAGGAAAACTGTATCAGGTGCTGAACAAAGTCCATCTGTATTAGTTTACACTGTACATTGAACTAAATAGACCTCAAAATTCCCTGAGTAGAGACTGCTGTTATATTCTTTGTTTCTCTGAATCTCTCCTTAGTATCCCATCATTAATGGATAGTAATAATGAAATTTGAAAGGCAACTAGGTTTTAAATTTGATTTTTGTCACAAGGAGTGAGAGATAGAGGCTTTCAGTTACAGAATGAACAAGTCATAAGGATAAAAGGTACAGCCTGGGGAACACAGTCAATGGTGTTTTCACAGCGCTGTATGGGGACCGATGGTAGCAATCCTGTGGTGAGCACGACATCAAGAGATATGGGATCGCTATGCTGCATGCCTGAAACTAATGTAACACTGCATGGCACTATACATCAATGAAAACGTTTCTTCGGCAGATTATATTGGTAAGTATATGGATTTCAGCAAGAACTAGTCAACAGTTACAAGTTTAATTATTTTTCAATTCTTCTTCCATCCATGAAGAATGCCTATCTCAAAGCCCAAATAGGACATCTGGGGGCCATCGAAAGCTATAACTAATGGCAAATCAAGTTCACAGCATTTTTGAGGGGGAGGGGGACTGGGGCAGACATGAGAAAAGAGCTCCATCAAGCCTCTGACTTTTCAGTAAAGAAATACCTTCTTGGAGACACAGTTGGCAAGGAAACTTGGTGGCAACAATAGAAAAGTGGAAACACACACAAAATAAAAGCCATGAGTACAAAGGGATTCAATTTCTAAGAAAACGGAGTTTTCTACATTAAGACATTAGAAAACAGACATGTTACACGTTTAATCTTTAAATTACTTCCAGTATTTCTTGCATAATTCACTATGTGAGATGAATCAACAGCTAGCTGAATTCCAGTGTAGATCTATTAAGTGCCTGCTATGGGCCCACAAAACTCCTAAGAAAATAAATAAATCTAATAAAGGCCTGACAATACAGCGAGTGGTACCAAGTACACTGTTATTTAGGAAGGAAGGGTAACAACTAATGGGGAGGCAAGGGAACAAAAGAAACACATGAGGGCAGGTGTCATGAAGAAAGTGACAGCAATGCTGGACCTGAAAGGCTGAAGCATTTCAAGTGAGGAGCTGTTTAGGGCAGAGAGGGGTATAAGCCTGAGTTCGCGTGGGTAATGGGCAGGTGCACAAGTGAGTGCACACTGAGGTGAAGTGTAAGGCATTACTCAGTGTGGGCAACAGGAGGATGGATGGCTTATGGCTTTGTCATATTTTAGCACAGACTTTCTATGGAATGAACAGAGAGAAAATTACAAGTATTTGGGGCTGAGGCATCTTCTCATCAGAGCTCTACTTCCCAAATGTGAACTCGGGAGAAGAGTGTATAGTATGTGCTGAAAAGGTCAGAGACGAGACGTGGGATATTTGGCAAATCCACTCAAACCAGAAACAGAATGGGGATGGGGCAGTGGCAGTACAAGGGGTGACGGCAGCATCCTTCATTTCTGTTGTCTTCAAGTCTACAGAATGTGTCTCACATAGGAATATGTGACTATGAGGCACATCCTGATTTTTTTTAAAGTGCCTTAACATTTTAATGCTGCAAGTTTTTAATAAAGACTTTCTAAAATGTCAATATTTGAAAAAAATATTAGGTATCAGTAAAATGAACTATCTACAATTTAAACAGAAAGACTAAATTAGAATGAGGGTTTAGTTGTTTAACTAGATTTTCAGCTTCCGTGTACAACAGAGCAAGTTGATTCACATTTTCTCGACTGTACCTCTTTCACCCCATCAAATCTACTGTAATAATGAAGTATGGCTAGATTAATGCTCTTCTGTTGAAATAGACTTACGCTCTCCGGTCATGGTCTATTCGGTTTATTTTCCCACCAATGAATACTCTGATCTTACAGTCTTTCCACTTTTTCTTGGTAGTCAGAAGGTAAGGTATCAATAAGGTCAAGCCTAAAAGATAAAAATATAAAATATCATTCACTCCAGGCTAATTTCTCAATTAAGAACTTTTAATTCAATTTAATCTCTAAAAGCATGTCTGCCCCACAACTCCATTTTAAACAGTATTTTTCTTCTGTCCTTCCTGAGTAATTCAGTCAGAAAGCCATGAGGTAGGCCTGAACAAGGAGGGAAGCCCAATGGAGCCAGGAGATCAGTCACATCCAGGAGCACTGAAGAAATGAGAGTCTTCACCGAACCTAGTGGGAGCCAGGTTTCTCTCTCAAATGAGAACTACGAGAAGGAAGAAGCTGGACTGAACCCTGCAGTGTTTAAACTGGAATGGGTTTTCAATCTATGCTGAAGTCTACAAACATACTATGGTAAGTTTCTGAGACCCGTCCACTGAGAGGGCCTGGGAGCAGTGACACTGCAGTAGCAATGAGCATATCTTTGTTCCTAAATACCATTCTCCACTAAAGCAGTCACGATTCCTCAGGTAAAAGGAGACTCGACGGCTGGTATAGGCAAAGTACAAAAGTGAGCCTGGAACATCTTATGATTGGGAAATGACAAATGGACAAACAAGTCAGCCATCAGAGGATCTTGGTGGCCAAATGGGAATAATCTGAACATCAAAACAAATAATGTGAATGACAAATCATCTCAAAATGAATACAGCCTATGAGTTCACAAACATAGAATAAAGAGAAAGCTCTTCCTTATAATGAGATGCCAACTAATAAATGAAGAACAACTAACAGGATTCAAAAATCATCATTTGGCAGCCACAAACACACCATTTCGATGGTAACAGCAGGTGAAAGTATCAATGGATGCTAAAGATGGTGGTAAAAATTGTCCTAAGAATGGTATATTTACATAATCCAAAAGTAACTCCCCATCCACTAATATGTGTAATTAAAAAGGGGAGACTAACTTTTCATTCTAAAAATTTTGTGAAAACCACCCTCAATGGTCAAAGCTAACTTCACCAGTGATGAGGCAAACCAACATCATATCCCCCTTGATGAGATCAAGATAGCACAGTGTAACTTTTCTACCAAAAAGTTACATAACTTAAACTAATTCTGAAAAAAGATCAAATGGTACTTCAAATCTAGTGACATCCTAAAAATGGTCAGTTGGTTAAAAAAAAAAAAAAAAGAACAAAAAACGTTAAGGTCATGAGCTCAAGAAGTGGGCAACTTTCAAACTGAAGGACAATGAAGATGTAACAGTTAAGTGCAACACCTGATTCTGAAACTAATCCTGTTGCTTGTCGGCACAATTCGAAAGTGATCTAGGGATGAAGAGGGCATGTCATTTCTTAGTACTAGTCCCATATTCCCACAACTTCAGTAAATGTAAAACTGCTAAAATGCATCTTAATAACCTTACCTCCATCATCAAAAAGCCACCAGACATCAATAGTATTCTTTCCCTGTTTTTTCTTAAACTGTGTACTAGCTTCAAGAAGCTTCTGGTCAGCTATATTTAAGGGCACAGCAGGGCCTTTGGATTCTAAAGGATTAAGCAGAAAAATAACATGTAAGGGAGGTAAATATTCAAGTTCCTTTTGTTGAATTCCTATAATTTCCTAACTTTTGTATATTTAAATGTTTATAATGCAGACAGTTCTATCTGGCATCCATCATAAGCTTTCAGTGGTTTATAACTTAAATGTACTTTAAAATGATGTTCACAGATAAATACATCTTTACAACAGCTAAACTCATCCAAATTATCTTGCCTAATTTCTAATATTTTGAAGCAATCTGAATGAAAGAGAATTATGAATACCAATCAAGAATAGTAATAATGGACTGCTACATTTTAATTTTTGAGAAGTTGTTTTAGGCTTACTGGACAAATGAGGTTTGTAATCTTGTTCCTCAGTAATTTAAAGATCCAAAAATTATTTTACATAAAATGTCATCAGTAATATAAAAGACAGAGGGAAGTGGAAGACGAATGAATACAAGCTAACAATTATCACAGTGAAACCTCTGGGTCTAGCAAGAACACCCTCATCTTTACCTAACTTGTCCCCTCGGCCTGTGATGCAAAAAGCTAAAGCCATAGAACCACACATCTTTCTCTGAAGCACAGAAAGATGCGAGAACTCCTTGGCAGAATACCACCTGTTGCAAGTCTAAAGAGCACTATACCAAGGAAGTTCCCTTTCATAGTCCCAGGAATTAAAAACTTAAAACAAAAACAAAAAAAAATTCAGCACTGACTCTATGAGCAAGCAAATGACTCTTATGAGACTCCTACAGTAAATTTTTAAAAGCAGGAATCCACAGGAGGAAAATCTGATCACTTCTGCAGGATGTCTGTCATTCACTTCTCATGCTGCCATGATACACGCAAACATGACGAATGATTGTGCATGATGACATAATATGGCTGCCAAACCACACTGCTCCGTAACTCTCACCTCTATCTCCTTCTCATAAAAGTCATGCCTGGGGACATGACTGTGTATCTCCCAAACGCAGCAGGGCTGTGAGAAATAGTGTAATTTTTGAAATGAAAAATATATTAGTATCAAAATTAAGGGCTTGGCTGGGTATACCTGATGGTAAGAATGCAAGTGACACTGGCAAAGAGACCCATTTCAGTGTCTCTGCTTAGCATCTAAACCATGCAGTTTAAATTTAAAAACTGGTACTGACGTTCAGGGTTTCAGTATTTCAGAAATGCTATGATGATTTAAAATAATTTGTTTTTGATATACTCCCTTCCCTGGGATGGTTTAAATTTTTTAGTTGGACTAACGATAATTTTTCTAATCTCCATTCAATAAATAACTGCAGCAGCACCTCGCCATGGAAATAAAAACTAAAGTAAAAAAAAGAAAATAGCAAAGTTGGAATTAAAGAGTTAACAGTATGAAAAAGGGGATTAAAATAAAATGATGAAAAATGCCTGCCTTTTTTCAACAGTGGTTGAGTTGGAGTCTTGCCATCCTCTTCCTCATCTAGATTATGTTTAAAAAACACAAAATAAAAGTTAATTGCCTTTATATTAATAATGAAAATGTAAATAGAGCACATTTATAAACAGAGCATAGTATGAAGAGTCAGTCTGTGAAAAATAATCAAGACTGAAGACAGATATCGTCTACACTGAGTGTTGAGGATTTTTAAAAGCAAACCTATTTTAGGCCCCTCCAACAGGGCTGCTGATGAATGCTCGCCCCTAAATTGTATTCCTGTAAAAGTGACAAAAACTTGAACAGGACTTTTAAACTTATAAATGTTCATACTTGAAGTAAGTTGAAAAGAATCTAGACTACGGCTTACAGAATAGAAATAGGCCATTAAAAAGTGACATTTCAGATAACACATAAATTTTAAACACTGTCAATGCATCAAAATGTGCAAATGACTGAAAAGTAATTTTAGAAACATTTCATGGATATTTCGTCCTCGTAAAAACGAATCACCACTTGGTACAGGAAGGAATTTGATCAGAGACAGTCTTTTGGTTTATATAATATACTAGTTTATATATATATATATATATATATATATGAATTGATATATACAATGTAAGCATATTTTTGCTCATATATATATATATATTGCTCATATATATATATGTATGTACTGGTCCATCTATATTTAAATATATGTAAGTATTTTCTTGACGTTAACAGTTTTGCTAATCTCAAGTTCTTCAGATAAGCTTCTGTGAGGTGTCTGAGGCACGTCAAACTCCCGCCCTGGACAGGGAAGAGTATAGTGTGCTGGACTCAAGTGGCTTCCAGGACTCCAGTATTACCTCGAACTCTTTTTCTGGCTGCATGAGCTTGAACTGGTTAGTTAACTCTCACTTTCCTTGGTAGTAAAAAGGGTGAACAATACCTACCTCTTGGGATCATTATGCTGCAAGCATTCAAGCCCTTAGCTCAGTGCCTAGCACAAAGTAAGTATTCAAAGGGCACTCCTCCTGTCCCTTTGCATGCTGTGTGCCACACTAACCAAGACAGACATACCAAACACCTATGATTATACAGTAACTACATAAGAATGATTCTAATGTTGAATACCTTTAAATTATATAAACGTTTCTATAGTTCCTATGTTACTTTTGAAAATAGAAAATAAACACAAAATTAATGCTATTTTTGAATGCTAATTTCTTATGCCTCTTATGGATCAAGAAACATTTCAATGATTACATTTAATTTTATAGGATTAAGTATTATTGTCTTTATAAAGTAGATATTTGATAATATTTGATATTATCTGTCTTTGATGATAGTAAAAGTAACAATTATAGATATAAATGCGAACATTGTGTGTTCATTTCAGAGAGCTCGAAAAATCTCAAGGAAATCCTGACACTTAAAAACTGATTTACATTAAAGGCATTAAAGGTACCGACATTTTTATAATAAAAAGGTGAGTAGTAATGTACTCACTCAAGTTCCTATTGTGTAAAAATAATGACTTCACAAGATTGCGACACACAGTAATGAGCTAATGTATAGAAAACACCTACTACAATGTGGGAGGCACAGAGTAGATGCTTAACGACTATTACTTCTTCCCTTCTCATCATACTTTTACCTATCAATTACTAAGAGGTTCTGTAAAGGAAGGATTGGTTTCAGGAAAAAAAATGACAAGAAAATAAAAAGGAAATGAGAGCATGTATACCATAAAATAAAAATAAATGCAGGAATATTAAAAGCAGTTAAAGAATCTTCTATAGGGTTTTGAGATGAAATTAAAAAAAAATATAATCAAGCCAGCAAAGAACTTAAAGGGAAAATGGGTCTCAATTAAAGCCTCAACTACCTCTACTCTGAGCAGACAATGTAACTAAGGAGGAAAGAAATATTAAGTAACAGCAATGCTTCTACATAATCTGGGAAAGATCAGTTTCACAGAGATAGGATTTGTCCAAAGTGATCAATTTCAGAAAAAGACTTCTTTGATACCAATCAAAAAAGTATGATATGGTTTGATGATTTAGAGGGCAGATTTTTCTTGTTGGGTGCCAGCTGGGACCAGGACAGATGGAGATACTGACTGAACAGAGGTAGGAGAGTGAGGGCGGGAGAGTAAGATTTGGAAGTCATCCCTCTTTCCATCTTGTAAACATTGACACAGATTTATGGATGAAATTATCTCAAAGTCTCAGATTTGGAGACTTTTGTGTGGCCTGCGCCACATGGGCCACCAGGGGTAGTAGTCTGCAACTATGGCCTAACAGTTCAGTAACCAAATACCAATAGCTCATCTCTTCAGAGAGACTAAGTAAGGAATACAATTGCATTTGATTTTTTATTACATGGTTTTACCTCAACAACTCCAGGTGCAGTAGATGTAAAAAGTATTCTATGTATCTCAGCACAAAAAGAAAACCCCTGATATTTAAATATCTTGATTTATAAAAAAAATTATGTAGATTTTTGGTCAACTTTCCTTCCAGGGTTATCTTAAGCTCTATTGCATTAATCTAAAATTACCAAGTTACTTTCAAGTTCAGATTTAAATTAGGCATTAAATTGTTTCATTTAAAAGTATATATAAAAATATATTAAGCACATATTAGTAGTGTATAATTAATTGGCATGGCTTCTGTTCTATGATCCACTTCAATACTTTAAAAATAGCTAGTCATGTTGTAGCCATCTATTTTACCTCATCAACTAGAAATGAACAGTAAAATTTCAGAATGGGTTACTTAATAAGACATGTTATATAATAAAAACCATTTTCTCCCCAAATTAAACATCACCATTAATAACAATTTTTCTGTGAATAAAAATTACCTTTGTGTCTAACACTTTTCTCATCAGATGGCTTGGAAGTATCTAAATCCGATTTTTTACTGTACTCCATACTTAGTACCACATCCTTGACACCGGGAGATTTCTCTTGTGACGACAATAATTCTTCTATGGATGTGAAAGTAACTAAATTATTATCTCAATATTATTTTAACCATTAATGATAGCACCATGGTATATTAACTAAATAACAGTCCACAGCAAAGCTTATTAAGAAATAGTAAGTTTACAGTACATGATTTCTTAGGTAAACAAATGTAATCATCTGTTTTGAAAGGACTATTCACTCAAATATCTTGAGCCAGAGCTAAGCATCAGACATGTGAATCAGGTGCTGAGGAATTAGTAATGAGTGAGATTCGATGTGGCAGACAAAAGAATGATGTACAGAATGTGAGTAAATTCTACTCTCAAAGTCATTTAAACATGTAAAAAATGTAAAATGTGACAAATGTTCACATACATGTAAGATGACAGACAATGCTGAAAAATGATACCCATGACTAGTGACACAAAACCAGGAGATAAACTCACAGTACAAGTACCATTTTTTCATTTTTAAAGCACTTTGTCCATATTTTATCTTTTGGGAAGTAAACAGTTAACTTCCACCATGGAAACATGCATCACAAAGACAAACATCATTTGAAATTGATCGCTGACAGATAATCCTCATCACTGATTCATGTGTATGATGAGAAATAACAAGAGAAACAACTATGCTAAGTATTTCACAGCCATTTCTTTACAACAACGCTATGAAATAATCACTTTTTTTTTTTAAATTTTAAAGCTTTATTTAAGTAATCTCTACACCCAACGTGGGGCTAGAACTCATAACCCCAAGATCAAGAGTCGCAGGCTCTTTGGACTGAGCTGGCCCCAGCACTCCAATAATCATGTTTTTATAGATGAGGACTCTGAAGCTGGGAAGTGAGCAAATTTGCCCAGGCCACAGAGCTATGTACTCAGAGATAAAGCTGGGACGTTCAAAGGAGATCTGACTCCAAGCCCTGTGCTCTTGATCCAGTGCCGAACCAAATTCCTGGTCCAAATCCTGATGATGAATAACAAGACCTTCAAAACTATTTTCCTAACTGAAACACATGAAAATATTTATTTAAAGTTCTGGTCACATTCAAATCACAGTAAATTACAACTATATATGTAAAATTGTTAGTCAAACTGTGATACTTTTGAGAGTGACAGGGAACACAACTAATCGTGTAGTTAACAGGTACTCTAAACCTCAATCACTGGCAGCGCAGGAGAGAACTGAAACAGTATTTTGCAAGGCCTACTCCAGACTAAGAAAATGCATTTTCAGCAAGCCATACTTTTGTGTTCCATGGATAAAGACCTCAAAGCGTTCCTTTCAAAACTGCACAATACCCTTAAAATGGTGGGAGGAGGGGGAGGATTACGACTGTTTACATAAACAGGTGACAAAAGTTCATGACGTGCCTCTCAGCTATTTAGGCTTAGGTATTTTGATGATTTAGTTAATTAATTGATAAGGGTAAAATATTAGCTGTGCAATTTCTTAAGCTTACAATATTTGTTAAATTACCAGGAAATCATCAGACAGTATGGAATTTCCCACAGTTTTTATTAAGGTTGCAAAAGTAATCAGTATACCTTAATTAGGTTTAAAGCTTCATCTAAAAACATTTTTTAAAATGCTTTAAAAATTACATGTTTGGAGACAAGATTAGTGGGTATCAGGGGTTAATGATGGGGGAGAAATGAAGAGCATGGTAGGGGCATGAAGGGGTAGCAGGAGAGAGGTCTTTGTGGCAATGGAACAGCTTTTTATCTTGATTATGGTGCTGGTTGTATGAATCAACCACATGTGATACACTGAACAGAACTACACATGTTCATAAACATGAACACACGAACACACACACACACACACACGTTAAGTAAAAATGGTGAAATCTGAGTAAAGTGGGTAAACAGTCACAACATCAGTTTCCTGGTTATGACGTATAATGATAGATATCCAACATGTTACCACTGGGAGAAATGGATGAAGGATACACAAGACCTCTCTATTATTTGTTCTGTTACTTCTCATGAATTCATAATCATTTCAAAATGAAACAGTTAAAAAAATTACTTATAGCGTCTTTTCTGAAGACAGAGTAAATGGCATCACCAAGTTTTCATTATTAATATACCTCTGTGTAAAAATGCATGACTTTCATAAACATGAAAATGTCTGATGATTTAGCAGTCATTAATGTTTTTTCTTCTATAGTATTTATCATGTATTTTTATAAATTTGAGCAATCTAAAACCATAACTCATGCTTATTTCTCTTAAATTTATGATTTACAATGAATTTTATTCTCTCCAATAGTAATCATCAGCCAACATCCAGGTTGGAGCAGAAAAGATCTGATTTCCAAATGCCATAAGGTAAGTACACAACATAGAACAGTGAATGTTAAAGTTATTGAAGAACTTGTGAGAATGACACAGAACTTTCTAACAGAGTCGTTTATATTTTTAAAGTAAAAAATTTATTCAAGCAAGATTTACCTTGTCCTTGAAGATGAGATATATCCAGACCCTCTTTTAGGCGGATAACCACTACTCCATATTGTATGTCAAAGGCGTCGCTATAATGGGGGGTGGGGAGCGGGATCAAAATCACAAAAATTTTAGTGTCCTCCTCTATAAAATGAAAGCAGTAAGAGGTGATTTCTAAAATGCCTCCAGCTTTAAATGCATTTTTAAAATATGCTTTTGAAACTAACAGTGAGACCCATATAATGTCTGCTTCAAATCCTATACTGTTTCCTTTCCTTCCTTCTATAATAGTCTTAAAAACTGGTTAAGTGTAGATCTTTATAGTCTTGATACTCTATCTACACCAGCCATTTAAAGCAGTGCCTATACTATTATGCTATCTGAAACAAACTATAATTAAGGAAAAATAAAATTCAGTATTCCCAACATACTTAATTTAGGCTTATACCCTTAAAACCAAGAGAATAACATGAAGACAAAGAAAAGAGTCCACTGAGAAAGAGAACAGGTTGTAGAGTATAAAGGGATGACTTCTGAAAGGAGCCAGAGTAATTTTTTTTTTAATTTATTTTTGAGAGAGAGAGAGAGAGAGACAGACTATGAATAGGGGAGGGGCAGAGAGAGAGGAAGACATAGAATCCAAAGAAGGCTCCAGGCTCTGAGGTGTCAGCACAGAGCCCGATAGCAGGGTTCAAAATCGTGAACTGTGAGGTCATGACCTGAGCTGAAGTCAGATACTTAACCAGCTGAGCCACCCAGGTGTCCTGGAACTAGAGTATTTTTAAGTAATTCTTACAAAAATGGCTTAATAAGTAATCCAAAGATTGTATATGCATTTGTTGGCATGTATTCCTAGGTCCTTTCAAGATTTTTAAACACGAATGGGATCATCTTATAACATGCAAAATATATTAAGACAACTCTAAAACCAGACTTCAATTCTGGAAACTTTGTTGAGACCATGAATCATTTAGATTCAAATTCTTCTCAAATCTACTTAAAGAATTACAAATTCCTAAACTTTGGGTCATTCCCCAGAATGTAACAGGCTTGGTTTTACCTTTTATTATTATTTTTAATTATGATGAAACCAATATTCATTATGTTCAAAAAATTATATACAATCTATGGTTCTATATAACAAAAAGAAAAGGCTAAAAAGCAAAAAAAAAATCAAATTTTTGTTCCTACAGACACAAAGAAGAATACATCACTGTAAAAGATGGTTTATTGGCTTTTTGTTTTTTAATCATGAGGAGACAATTTTGGCCTCATTTCTATAATGCATTAGCTAAGGTCTAAAGAGATTCATTGGAAAAAGAAATTAATGGACATAGTAACCTTCCTCAGCTGTATCCTCAAAGACCTACCACTAGAGAAGAGTAACTACAAGCATTTTAAAAAAGTTAATAAATCACAAATGAATTAAAATCACTTTCCTTAAAGAAAAGCCAGTGTACATAGCTTCCTGAGTTTACCTTGGATTAAAGTGGCTGTTTTTGTTATAAACAAAGAAATTTCTGTAAGCTATATAATTTGCCTTTAGAGTTTCAGACTCTCCCTTCTGTTACGATGCATAGTAAATCAAGTAAACCTCAACTGCTCAAAGTATTTATAATCACAACCAAAACTTAAGTGTCAGAAGATAAAAGCATAAGCAATATCACTGCTTTGAATCTGCCATTGATTTCTAAGTCCTGGAAAGCAAAGAGCATCATTTTGTCTATCTTTAATTGCTGCGTGCTGTGTAACACTCAGAGCAATACTTGACTCTCAGAGCAACTATTCACTTCAGTTCCTACAGGGTCAGCGTCAGAAAGATTCCTTTCTTTCAGTGTTTCCATATGAGCAACTACAACTAATAGTCAAAGAATTATTTGTAAAAATGTCACTTTTTATACATTTTAAGATAATTATTCCATCTCACTGGTCTTGCATCTTGAGAAAGAAAAAGCCCAGTCCATGGTGGATGGCCCACATGATTTATCCTTTCACACTGTCCTTCCTTTCCTAATTCTCAATATGCAAAGTGCACAGGATATAATTAGAAATGTAGGATGAAATCATGCTTACAAAAAGGAACAACCCCAAATCTAAAGAGGATTCATAGTATGTCAAGAATCAGAAGAGATTTTACTAAAAGTATTTAGTAATTATTTGGGAAAACTTATTCATTCTATACTAACCAATATGAAGCAACTTTTTAAAAAAGTATTACGTCTGGTTACTCCCTCAAAGATATTTCAAGGTAGCTATGGAAACAAAACTATCATCTGTGATACAGGTAAGCAATTATGGTTCTAAAAGGAGTTCCAATAAGGGAAATAATTCTACTTAGTTAAAGGCAATCAGATCAAAACTCAAAGAAATAAGATTTCAATCAGGTCATAGAGCTACTTCACCAAACACATTTAAAAAAAAAAAAAAAGCACAATTGTTAGTATGTAAAGAAAAACTTCATATGAAGGAATGGACATTTCTATTTCATCAGCAGCTAGATTAAGAAAAAATTTATTCAACCAAGAATTGTGGTGTGGGGCACCTGGCTGCCTCAGTTGATAGAGCATGGGACTCTTGATCTTGAAGTTGTGAGTTTGAGCCTCATGTTGGGTGTAGAGATTATGTAAATCAAAAAAAAAAAGTGGTGGTGTGACAGACTCTTAAGTATGGAGAACAGAGGGAAGTCAGGAGGGGGATGGAAGAAATATGCGGAAGGGGGATTATACTTAGCATGATGAGCACTGAATATTGTAGAGAATTGCTGAATCAGTGTATTATACACCTGAAACTAACAGAACACTAAATGTTCTCATTGGAATTAAAATTAAAAACTTAAAAATTTAACAGTGTGAAAGGGAATCCTTATCCTCTAAAAAACAGTATAAATAGGGGCGCCTGGGTAGTTCAGTAGGTTAAGCGTCCGACTTCAGCTCAGGTTCATGGGTTCGAGCCCCACATCAGGCTCTGTGCTGATAGGCAGCTCAGAGCCTGGAGCCTGTTTCGGATTCTGTATCTCCCTCTCTCTCTGACCCTCCCCTGCTCACACTGTTTCTCTCTCTCTCAGAAATAAATAAAACATTAAAAAAAAAAAAAAACAGTATAAATGAGATAAAGGGACCTGTTAAGCAAACCCAGAATACTAGGAAAAGGAAGTATTTCAAAATAAATAAAACTTTTTATTTTTGCCAAATTTTCTTATTTTATTAAATAACTCACTTAGTTCCAAAAAGCATTTGTGGTGGATTAAACATATTGGTTTAATCTGAGGTGGCTCAGTCGGTTAAGTATCCAACTTTGGCTCAGGTCATGATCTCACTGTCCCTGATTTCGAGCCCCGTGTGGGACTCTGCTGACAGCTCAGAGCCTGGAGCCTGCTTCAGATCCTTTGTCTCCCTCTCTCTCTGCCACGCTCTGGCTCTGTCTCTCAAAAATAAATAAACATTAAAAAAAATTATAAAAAAATATAAATCACCTAATGTATAAATCAAGTAATTACATGTAAATTAATGTGATAGAATAAACCTAAACGTTTGAGGGGTGATATCAATGAAGAAATGCCCTCTCAGCACCAGATACTATAAAGACAGAACACCAGCTAATGGGGCTGACATTTGGGAAATCTGCTCAGCAATAGCTGTAAGGATAACCAGAAGCTTCCTAACTTGAATGGGAAGCCAGAGTATATATGTTGTGTGCTCATTTGTACACGAGTGTGAATGTTCGAATGTATGACAAGACCCAGAAAGATTAATCAAAAAATTTTGTCAAAAACTCAAGTGACAACCCAGATAACCACATGTGATTCTTTTCATTCTTAGGCTTCTACTATAAGAGAGTGTATCAGAAACAGGCTTCACAAACCAGTGCAGGCTTTGAAAACCAGTACAAGTTTCCATTTTCTGAATCAAGTTACTGAAGTAAAAGGATACTTACTGAAATATGTTTATGTACATATCCACATCTCTCATATCTGCTTGCAACCAATTTTTCTTAAATCCAAGGACAAGTGTGTTTGGTTTCATACGCCCAAGACCAGCAGCCTGAAACAAAGGAAAAATACAACTTTAAATATAATCTATTCAGCAAAATATTTTATCAAGGATCAAATCCTCCAAATAGAGAGGCTATATTTTTATTTTTTTTAATATTTGAGAGTGTGCATATGTGCTTTCTCTCTCAAAATAAATTTAAAGATTAATCTATTTAAAGATTAAGAATTAAATCCTCATTTCAAGATTAAATTAATCAAATATATATTAAGTGTTGATGATCATATGCCAGACACTATCCACACGATTTGGGATAATTAGAAATATCCTAACCACATAAAACTTAAATTTCTCAAAATATTCTCTCCATACACAAGTTTCTTTCAAAAATAAGATTCCCCCCCCATTCAATATTAAAAACAACTCTTTACCTTCACAGATAAAAAATAATCCTTATTGTTTTTTAAAACTATCAGGTATCAAGACAGCCACTAACCACACAACCTTTTTTTTTTTTTTTTGGTAAAAGAAAAGCAAGAAACATCTTTGAGTCTTAGAAGTTTCTAAATAACTAGGCCACAAGATAACCAATAACTTCTTGATGGTACAAAATAATGTCATTATTATTTTTATTCTCTTTCATCACAAACCATTGTCACGACATAATAATTAAAAGGTCTTATTTTTATAAAATTAACAATAACACCCTGCGACACTCTGTCCACTTGTTTCAACTTCATTATTTCAATAACTTTTCCCTGAATGACTGGGCAAAGAAATTTCAAATGTATCACTCATCCCTAAATGCTCTGAAATTATAATCAAAGTAGTTATTCAGTCAGAAGTAATGCTTTCAGTTTCCATAAAACGTGTTTTAAAGAACAATGCATTACTGAAAATACGTCTTTTCTGGAAAACAGGTTTCTTTAATGGCTCATAAAAAATCAGTTTTTCATGGAATTCCACAACTGAAACAGACTTGGCAAAATGCAATCCCCTGAAGCTTATTACAAGCGTCTTTAGTTTCAAACACTCCCACTGTGTTGTTTCTTCGGATCGTTAGCAATGTTTTTCTATGCGTCTTTCACCAGAATTTGCTGATAAGAAATGTGTTTTAGTTTGTTATTATATTTTCCTGTGCATCACCATAACCATTGTTTACTGTAGCAGAAAGAACTACTTCCACAATGGTACATGGCTTTTTATTTCTGTCTTTCACTATTAAGTAAAAATATTTCCACATATTATGGTTACCTATTGAAATGTAGTTAAATACGGCTGTGAGATTTGTATTATTTTAAAAACTACTAAAAACAATACTTGTAGAGTTTTGGCTCCAAGTCCTGGATGGTTAAAATGTTCACCCACTAGGGATAGGTTTATTATTTTTTTTTTTAATATTTATTTATTTTCTGAGAGACAGAGGGCGAGCGGGAGAGGGGCAGAAAAGAGCAGAAGACACAGATTCGGAAGCAGACTCCAGGTTCTGAGCTGTCAGCACAGAGCTCTACACAGGGCCTGAACTCCTGAACCTCAAGATCATGATGTGAGACAAAGTCGGACACTTAACCGACTGAGTCACCCAGGAAACCCAAATTAGTAATAGCTTTAAATTATTATTAGTTAATATCTTATGGCACAATATTTCTTTAGGATGTGGCTATAGGATTTGTACATAATTTGTATTTCTAATATTCTTATTGGTAATGTTAAATTATTTTGGTCTACTTATTTCAGAAGAATTTAAAAGAAATTACTGTTTACCTCAAAATGTGGCTGATGATGAGGAAAGGTATCAAAAACACTCAGAATATATTATGGAGTATGACACTGGGCTATTTTTATTTTTGTACAGGAAAAAAGGTAAAGTCATTTCTAGAGTGATACTTTGAATGAGATCCCCTTGATTTAAAGGGCCATCATAATGTAATCTGTAATCTGAATTTTCAGTAAAAACAATAAGCTTTTGCTCTTTGAAATGAAGATTTAAAAGTGACTGAGGGGCAGCTGCGTTGCTCAGTCGGTTAAGCGTCCGACTTCGACTCAGGTCATGATCTCGTGGTTCATGGGTTCGAGCCCTGCATCTGGTTCTGAGCTGATAGCTCAGAGCCTGGAGCCTGTTTCCGATTCTGTGTCTCCTTCTCTCTCTCTGCCCCTCCCCTACTCACGCTCTGTTTCTCTGTCTCAATAATAAATTAAAAAAAAACAAAACATAAAAGTGACTGACAATTAAGTGGCTCCTGCCATTAAAAAATTAAACAGAAAAATCCAAATGCACAAGAGGCTAGCAGCGCTAACCTGTCACTGTCAAAGGGGTTCTTAAGCAAACTACTAAGAAGAGTGCCTTTTTTAAAAATAGTGAATCTCGAGTTTTAGTTTGGAGAGTGGATACTTAAATGCTAATTTAATGATAAATGCTCATGATCAGTAACTAGATAAATGAGGGAGAGAGAAACGAGAAGTCAGAGCATAAGGTAGAGTAAAAATGTACAAAAATGATTTTTGACAAAGATTATAAACCTCTAATAAGACATACAGGCCTCTGCCACTCGACTGTAACAAGTTTCCAGAGGTACAAAAGAAAGAGAAATACTGTCAGTTACAGTTTATACTAAGAAGTCAGTGATTAATTCTGCAGTGGCAATTCTCCTATTTGTAAGTTTATTTTACACAGTTACTCACATAGCTCTGCCACTAGAATCAAGGCAACTTCTTGGGCATCTTAGCGAAATGCTTGTATCCACCAGTTTACAGGCCAGTCTCAAAATACTACCACATGCTATGCACCCCACCTTTGTCCCCATACTGCTGAAATGGTCTAGACTCACTGGGGTGAGCATGTAAGCTGGAGGAGAATGGGGAGGACAGTGGATCCTACCTCTCATCAACAGTGTCATTTTTACTACAGTAACCCTTAAGGGCAGAGGTTCTCAAACTGTAGTGCCCGCAACATACCAGGAGCAGTCACAGAAATGTAAACTCTCCTGGCTCACCCCAGACCAACTAAGTCATTCCAAAGGTGAGCCTGGCAGTCTGTTTTAACAAGTCCACTAAGTGACTCTGATGCATGATCAAGTTCAGGACCTGCTACTCTAAGGAAATATTTTCCTTCCTAACATTTCTTAAATACATAAAGTGGTTACAGAAATGTTCCTACAAATTACACAAAAGCAACTAATTTTAACCCACTAGAAACTACCTTATGACCAGAGACAGAATTTTACTTTAAATATTTAAATATTTTGCACAGAAAAATGCAATAAATATCCACGTACCCACCACCCAGCTTATGAAAAGAAACATGACAAGTACACTTCAAATACCCTATGTATCCTTGTCATACCTTCTTTGTATTTTCACCATGTAGTCCAACATACATATACATGTTTAATTTACGTATATTTAAATTTTTGTATCATCTACATATTGTTTCTATCTTTTTAGTTTGCTATTTTTCCTTACCACTTATGTGTTCAAAGTTTATTCCTACCGCTATGTATAATTAACTCCCTTTTATCACTATGTAGAATTCCACTGCAAGATTACACCACGATCTTTAAATCTGTGGCTGATGCCTGCTGAAGTTACTTCCATTTCTTTTTCACGAATACAAATAATGCTGCTATGCAATTTCATATAGTTTTCCCTACACACGTTTCTCTAAGGAACACATTTAAGAATGGAACATCTGAGGATACATACACTTTGAAATGTACAGGACACTGTCAGGTTGATTACCAAAGTGGCTGTGCCATCTATGTTACTACAGCAGTTCAAAGATTTCCAACTGTTCTTACTACTCCTAACATTTGGAACTGGCAGACTGAACTTCATAGTTCAACGTTTTTGTGTCTCACTGGAAGAAAAACCCTTCCCTAGCCCAAAGTCATCAAATTATTCTCATTTTCCTTCTAACAGTTTAAAATTTTGCCTTTCACATTTAAGTCCTTAATCCATCTAGAAATGGTTTTTGTGTTGTCTCTGTAAGTATCCGTTATATTATTTTTTTCACATGAATCATCAGTTGCCCCAGTTCATCTTTTAAAGGTTACTTCTGTATGTATTAAATTTTCTATATTAAGGGCTCTATTTCCCCTCTGTTTTATTCCAATAATCTTATTATCACTAATTCAGAACCACTATGTGTTAATTACTAGAGTTTATGATGAGACTTTATATCTGCCAAAGTGAGCCCGCTACTACCCCTTATTATTCCTGAGGATTGCCTAAGATACTCTTAATTCTGTACTTGTCAAGTTTTATAAGACATCAGAACAGAACGGGTGCAGGTGACACACGCTGAGCCTCCCATCTCTGCTTTAACACAGCAGCTCCGCAATCAACACAGTGCATGGGCTTCTGGTTAAGCTTTCATTTGAAGAAAGGGGTTCCTATATAAACAAGATAGCAAACTCTATCTCAACCCATGTATTTCTTCCCATGACCTTTAGGCTGAGTTTCAGAGAAGTTAAGGAACTTGCTGAGTAAAAATTCATAACAAGGAAGTGGCAGTGCTAACATGTAAATCTAGGACTGATTCCAAATCCTGACTACTGTGTCATACACAAAACTGAAAGTGAAGTCTAAGTTTAGTAAATAAACAGTGAGAAATACAGTGAGGACCCAGAATTTTTAAAGCATTAAGAAGTGCCATTAATTCACACTTACACGCTGTGCCCAGTGAGGTACAGCAGACAGGGAAGGGGAAAAGTCTTAGGGAAATAGGCTCTCCCCTGTCTTTCAGGAGCACATTAGCTCTATAGTTCCTTATGCTCTCCAATTATACAAATCTTAGTAATAACGATATTTGACTGATATGAAGAATGAAACCTAGAATGTGAAATGTTTTAAAAGTTTACACAGAATTTGAACTCTGATATTTGAAAGGCAGGACAAATGTACCTGCATCAAATACTGTGCACCTTCTCTCAAGTCATCTGCATGTACTGGAGCATAAAAAGCCTTCATTTTGTTTTTGATAAGCCACCGCTGATATTTGGCTTGATCAATGGACATCTCTTTCATGGCTTGTCTTCGAGGGCCCTTTTGGAAAAAAATATTAACAACAGCATTAACTGAAAGATCATCTATTCCACATTTATAAAAATCACCTGTTATTTCAGCTTGAACAAGTTCCCTCCACCTGGGAGATGGGGAGAAGAGGCGGACAACAACATTGTATTTTCCTGTCAGTGAATTCTTTCCAGTACTGAAGATAATGACCAGAGGGGGCTGCATTGCAACAGTGAAGGCATGGGGGGGTGCCACTAAATGGGAAAAGCCAAGAGGAAGAAATACACACTAAAAAATAAATAAGTAGTTTTCAATACTAAATAAATGAAAGAAATTAGCAATTACCAAAGATGGAGATTACATGGAGAAAAATAAGAGCCTTCTGTTTGTTTTTTTTAATGTTTTATTTTTTTTAATTTTTTTTTTTAATGTTTATTTCTGAGAGAGAGAGACAGCATGAGCAGGGGAGGGTCAGAGAGAGAGGGAGACACAGAATCTGAAGCAGGCTCCACGCTGTGAGCTAGCTGTCAACACAGAGCCCGATGCGGGGCTCGTACCCACGAACCGTGAGATCATGACCTGAGCCAAAGTCGGATACTTAACTGACTGAACCACCCAGGCGCCCCTATTTATTTTTATTTTTGAGAGAGAAAGCATGAGTGAGCAGGGGAGGGGCAGAGAGAGGGAGCGAGACAGAGAGGCCCAAGCAGGCTCTGATTGTCAGCACAGAGGATGATGTGGGACTCAAACTCACGAACCATGAGATCATGACCTGAGCTGAAATCAAGAGTCATATGCTTACTGAGCCACCCAGGCACCCTGAGCCTTTTGTTTTTCTACATAAAGTTTCTCAGCTTGTTTTTTCTTTATCCCCAATGTTTGAGTTATTAATTCTCAGTAACCTGAAAATAGAAGTTTGCTGTAAAATATAAATGCATTTTTTTCTTCATACTTCTGTTAAATGATGAAATAACGGAATTAAGGAAATGAGGTTTTTCAACTTGCAATTCTATTTTGATTCCCGCAAGCAACACATAAAATGTGTTATATGCAAATGTATAAAGCAAAAATCTAAAAGTAGGTTTAAGAGCACACCCTCATTGTACATGAGAAAGTATAGGAAAAATACAATTTGTTTTATAAAGGAAAAACGTTAAGAAATACTGCCCCATTTGTAATTTCCTGTGGTCAAACCCCAACTTGAACTCATCAACTTGGAGACAAACTGAAAAACTTCGTAGGTCCCAACTGGGGTCAGTGTCTCAATGTTCTCCTCCAGACATGGCTTTGACTTTGCTACCATATAAGCAGAAGAGCAACTATAGCACAGGCTGCGACATGGGGCGTTGAACCCAAATTTCTAACAAGATGAAGAAGACAGTTTGGGAGAAAAGCTACTCTGACAAATAGCCCAAATTTCTCACACAGAACAGGTGATCCATCTTCTAGCAATTCTTTTCAATAACCAAGATGACAAAAACATAAAATTACTTCTGGATGAAAAGTTTACCACTATTTTTAATAATGATATTACTCATGGTTACAACAAAAAAGAATGGGCAACTAAACTTAACACTGTTTGAATTTGGAAATTTAGCACTCTGCCCTTCTTATATGTTGTATACTAGATGTCTGTCTACCTCTTCCAACCTCTTTTTTTATTTTTCTGGTAGTAAATGCTCCCAGTGTTCTAGAACATTATGAGAAATGTCAGTAAGAGAACACACATACTGTATTTCATTTAGACTGCTTAGTGATCAAGGAGCTACTTTTCTTAGCCAAAACATTCCGTAACAGAAATATAGTTTGCTAAAATCTCATAACAAATAAGAAAAAAAGAATCAACACTCTAAAATCTGTTCTCAATAGAGGTTCTGAGACAGTTTGGAGGCAAAAATATTTTGAAGAAAGTAACTAACTTCAAAAATGCCCAAACAAACTAAACATACTTATCTTGTCAAATTACTTCACATCTAAAAAGTCCCATGAACTACAAATTATATACAGAGTAAAGAATGTTTTAATATAGAAAACAAAGTGAACACTTACCATATGTACATGACTACAGATCATCAACCCAACATTTTTTGTGAAATCATGAACAAGATGAAGTAAAGCTGGGCGCGAGTTTGGAGCACCTGTCATAACAAGACACTGTGGCCTAATTTAAGATTGAAAAATAAAACAAAATTAGAGATTAGATTTTTGATAACATGCACATATTTTACACCACTTCTCTAAGAATAGGTTATTACCCTAGAATCTCTCCTCTATGTAGTTGTTCTCAAGACACAGGCCACAGGAGTCTCAAGAGAAGATGACTTTTAACCAGGGTTTCTCGGTACATGAGATATGCACAAACAAAACTTCTTATAACAAATAATCATGCCAAATGATTACACATCACTTGGTAAGATTCCACATCAAGATTTGGTAGGTATTACAGGAAGAAATGACCATGCTAATTAAAATAAATGTAACCATTTTTTACTTGTAAAGGTTAATAAATATTCCAGTTCTTGAGAGTTCCAAAACTTCCTAAGAGCTTGACCTTCCCTTCATGTACAAAATAGGTTGCCTTCCTTCTTAGCTTGATCCTATCATAATGATTTCTACTTTCTAATATCAGCCCTGTCATCTAGCTTTAACAATGGCTATTGTATCAGTAAAATCATCAATGGTTGATTTGAAGGTTTCTATTTGAAGTAAAAGTTTTAATTCTAATTAATTATGGTAAAAATCAAAATTAAATTCAATTGCCTTTGTAAACACAATACAGTGGCATGACTTTCATAAATTCTTGACACTTGATTTTAACTGAAAAGAAATGGCAATCAGTGTTGTTTAATGAAAAAATATGCAAGTATGCAATTTATAAGCTGACACATTAACAAAGATTCTTTAAAACAAGAATTTATATAATTAAAACAGACTTTAACAAAAAGCATATAGACTAAAATTGACTTTACTACTAAATTGGTAGGGTAGTTCCTAACTTCATAAAGTAAGCATGAGAACTTGAATAAAGACTACAAAAACGAAATCAAACAAAAAAACTAACTTATTCAGAATTTTAGCAATTTATTGGTTTATTCTGAAAAACCAATTCTGTCTGGGAGAAGGGCTTTAGAGCAATCAACAAGAAATCAGCCTCAATGCCCCAGACCACTAATAGTGCAGTCTCTCTCTCTCTGAGCTTTAGCAGGTTAAAAAGCTCCACAGCTAGAAATTACACAATTTCTATCCTTCCTGGTAGCTTACCACTGACCCTGTGAATGGCTTACAGCCCATATAAGGAAGCTGGCTGCCCTCCATACTTTGTTTCCCTTTCCTGTAAGCTGATGACTCTGACCACATGGACAAAAACACCTCCTAGGAAACGGCAGGCTGACAAGATACAAGGAATGTGGGACCTGAATGACCAAGTGCAGTAAATCTGCCTGCCATGAACCAACCATTTGCCTCTGGGCTACCATGTAACACCAACGTTGGCTTTATATAACCACTCTATTTGTCAACTTTCCTTACGTGTAGTGTAACCTACACTCTAACATAATCTATTACTACAGTTAAAGAACTGGTAGCCCCTATCTTTACTACATGGTAAATATACCACAAAGGCGGACTTTGGTATAGTTGTATCACACCAAAAAACAAAAAACAAAAAAAACAGAGTACAAAATATATTAGGGATGCGAATGAGTAACAATGACGCCTTCCTCAAAACACTCTATCATATAAAGGGATTCTTAAGGAACAAAAATATGAACAGGAGAAAACACAGTAGTGTGGAAATACTGAAAGCTAGAAAGGAGATGGGAGAACAAAGGATAGGCCAAATCAGGAAGAAGCTAAATCCTAAAGCCGAAGAGAAAGCTGTGAACCTACCTGATTTTACACCTAAAAATCACCAAAATGCCTGTAAGTTAAAGGCAGTAGGTGCCAAGTAGCAGGAGCAACGTATTAAAGAAACCAAAGTGAGAAGCACTGGTTTCAACTCTGCATAAGGAAGAACTAGAAACAACCAAGTCACTTTCATCACCATCATGAATACCTCTCTCTGTCCTTCCCCAATACTGTCAGGCTAAGGCTTATTTGCTAAAAAGGGGCTCAAAACCACAATGAGATATCAACTCATAACACTTAGAATGGCTAATACCAAAAAGACAAGAAGTACTGGTGAGGATGTGGAGAAAAGGGAATGCTCAAGCACTGGCATTTCACAAGAGTCAAGACAGGGAAGCAACCCAAGTGTCCAGTGACAGATGAATGAATAGATACATGGTATGTACATACAACGGAACACTACTTGGCCATAAAAAATAATGAAATCTTGCCATTTGTGACAACATGAATGAACCTAGAGGGTATTATATTAAGGGAGACAAGCCGGACAGGGAAAGACAAATACCTTATGATTTCATTTACATGGGGAGTCTGAAAAACGAGACAAAACAAACAAGCAAGGGATAAAAAGACTCACAAATCAGTACAATAACAACAAAGAGAGAAAAAGATACATAAATATAAACAAACTGATGGCCACCAAAGTGGAGGGAATTGGGGGGGATGAACAATATGCGTGAAGGAGACTAAGAGGTATAAACTTGCAGTTAGAAGTCTTGGGGTGAAAAGTATAGCACTGGGAATAGTCATAAACACTGTAATATACTGTAAGTAAGCTCTATTCCCAACAGAGCACTCGCACTCATGAATGGCCATGAGACCAAGAGCTGCACACTCAGCTGCACAACTGAGCCAGCCAGGCATCCCTAAAACTAATTTATATGTCAACTATACTGTAATGAAAACATTTTTGGTCTGTGACACATTAGCAACAACTGAGGGCAGAAGCAGCTACTTTAATCATGGCAGGAATGGAGAAAACATTTACATACTGAATCCTGAGATCTCCAGACCTCCTTTGCCACTTGACTCTTAGAACTTGAGTAGCCAAGACTTTTATCAACAAGCAAAATATTCAAAGATTCTTTTCTGTGAAGTTTAATTGTATATTAAAAAAACCCTTCAAGATGACTTAAATTTCTCAAAGAACCAGCAAAGCCACATTCATCTCTCTTAAGGACTTCAATGACAAGCTCCAAGTACCAACACAGAGTTTCCCTGGCCAAGGACCATGGTTACTTCAGACAAGGCTAAATCTTGTCTGAAACAGTTCAAGTTCAAGAAACAGGAAACAGTGAGAAAGACATTTCAAAGAAACAAACTAAAAAGTGAAGAAAACAACATCTTTTGCTAAGTTTGGTGAAGGATGAGGTAGTGATATGTATAAAATTAAGTAAGCAAAGAAAGGGAAAAAAAATTTTGTTCCAGAGAAAACAAGAAAGCTGTAGAGGAAACAAAAAGGAATCATAATTATCACATGGCTCAGTTATGAATCATTTTAAAAGGTCACTGGGGTGCCTGGGTGGCTCAGTCAGTTAAGTGACTTCAGCTCAGGTCATGATCTCACACCTCGTGGGTTTGAACCCCGCATCGGGCTCTGTGCTGACAGCTCAGAGCTGGGAGCCTGCTTCAAGATTCTGTTTCTCCCTCTCTATCTGCCCCTCCCCTGCTCATGCTCTCTTTCTCTCTGAAATAAATAAACATTAAAAAAAATTTTTTTAGGGGCGCCTGGATGACTCAGTTGGTTAAGCGTCTGACTTTGGCTCAGGTCATGATCTCATGGTTCGTGGGTTCAAGTGCCATGTCGGGCTCTGTGCTGACAGCGAGCTCAGAACCTGGAGCCTGTTTCAGATTCTGGGTCTCCCTCTCTCTGACCCTCCACTGCTCACAATGTCTCTCTCTGTCTCTCAGAAATAAATAAAACTTTAAAAAAAATTAAAAAAAATTTTTTTAAAGTCATAAAAATATAAAAACCAAGTATGACCTAATCAAAATAATGATATAAAAATATACTCTGGGGTTGGGGTAAAGGGAAGAGTGCATGTGTTTAGTAGGCACATGTGGATGAAAGCTATCAATTAAATTAAATTTAAATTAAATTAAAAATCGAAAAGTACAGGAAGACAACCATAATGTTGGGGAATATCAAATAATTACTGAATCAATCAGCTAAGACTTGAAAGAGGTTGCCTGTGTGTGGCATGACACAAACAGGGACATGAGAAGTCGGGCAACTATGGATTTTCATGATTTTCTCTAGTCTCTCTCAACTATGTTCATGTGTAACTCTGATAAGGTTTAAAAAGCCATACTGGAATAAAGTACATCTTTTCAATGTTCCCATTACTATAACAAAGCAAAGCAAAAGGTATGCATTGATGGCAAATTAACTTCGAGTCTTGGTCATACACTCAGTTCTGGGATACAACTTTTTACCCAAAGGGATGAGTTCTATTTTCAGTCATACTTGGCATCAACGATTCAAAATGTGCTAAAATTAAAGTTTTCCACCCAGGGCTCTCATTCCTTTTTCTTTTCCCAATTTCACTCTACTCCAAAGTTGAACATCTGTGGTCTCTGGAAACTTTTCATTCTAGAAAAAAAGGGATGGGGGTGGGATCCAAAAAGTAACACAAGAATACATGAAGGCTTTTCTTACTGGGAGAAAAGTGGCAGAGCAATTCTTTTCTGTCACTCATTCACTCCTCAGGATTTCTTTAAATAGTATTTCCCCTTTTAGTTTATTGACAGACATGGAACATATTTCTTTATTATTTGGAAGCCAATGAGATGTGAGTACTCATGAGTACAGAAAGTCACCTGCTTACAGCCAGGCTTAACTGAACAGTATGAAAGAGACTATTTAGATGAAGTTTTTAAAAAATGATAAGCCTACTTTCTGCAAAATGCAAATAATAATCTATAATTACTAAGAATCAACATAGGGAAATAATGAGACTTCTTGATTTAGAGGGGTATGTATCAGTAGCACTTTAGTAACTGAATTTCATCAATTATTAGAAGCATGTTGAATTAAGCAACAGTTTTTATTTTTTAAGGAATAGTTTTTAAGTTGATGATTAACACACTACTATAAAATATAGCACTTATTGAGTAAAATAGTATAAATGCTCTTTAAGACATTGATACTTTATCACCAAAACTGGTTTCCAGTAAGTCAATGAGGAGAGGAAAAAAGCAACTAACATGAAAATATTTAGTGCCTTGGTAAAATTACAAAATAAAGTATGTCAAAAAAAAAACCCTTAAAAAGCTCATACTTTGTAATTATACAGTGCTTACTCAACTTTACTGGCCACAGGGGGAAGAAATTATTCATTTTATGATAGTTGAAACGCCACTTAAAAGCCTTCAAATGAGAGACTTCTCTTTTACAACTTTTTTGTAAATTAGATAATTTACCTCTTTGTCAATTTTTGATAACTAAGACATTTTACCCTTGTTTATGAATACACTGCCCATTCATATCCAGCCAAAACAAAAACCAATATTCTATGCTTTTAGGAAACTTCTCAGGTAATATCAGCAGACGAAAATATTACCCAATAGTTAAAGAAGTGATGGACACCTAAGACCGATATCTCTGTGTCACCTCGCCGCTCACCTGAAGTTTTTCACATGGTCTTCCACTCCTGAAAGACGAATTGAATGCTGCAGAGCATTTAGGTACGTCAAAGCTTGTGTAGAGGATCCCCAGTTCACGTCTGTGGGAAGACAGTGTCAGGCAGCAACACACCAGTATTAACCAATGATCAATTACCAGGTTGAAGCACAGAGAAGTAAACGATAGTCTCATATATAAAAAATCAATTGCTGACATAAAGCAATGCAGTGACAATGCTCAACAGTTCAAGTGCATGGCATGACACTATGATCATGCTACTCTGAACTAGAATTGCACTTTTTTAAATTTTTTGATGTTTTTTATTTATTTCTGATAGAGAGAGACAGACAGCATGAACAGGGGAGGGTCAGAGAGAGAGGGAGATGCAGAATCTGAAACAGGCTCCAGGCTCTGAGCTAGCCATTAGCACAGAGCCCGATGCAGGACTCGAACCCACAAACCTTGAGATCATAATCTGAGCCGAAGTCGGAAGCTTAACCGACTGAGCCACCCAGGTCCCCCGGAATTGCATTTAAAGAAAAAGTACAATTTAGGAAAGACCAAGGTGATAGGGCTACAGACATGCTGTGCATGCAACTCAAGAATGTTCCACAAATAATTTTAAAATTATTGTTTATGTAGCCAGAGGCCTAAAGAGAAAGAGGAGATCTCTGATATAAAGACTGAAAAACTCTGAAAGTACCATTCATAGTACTTAGCAGTTTAAGTTATTAGAAAAGGCAAATTGTACTGTGCACTGAATAAACAGCCTGGACATCAAATATGACCTTAGAAATTTGTTCTTTTAGAGAAATAATTGTTTGTAAGATGGCTAAAACATTACCTTCTTTGTCCATTTCATTTCTAAAGCCAGCACTCTAATCCAAAACCTCATTGCATCATATCTGGATTACAAAGTGCTTCCTCAGTTTCAGATGACGACACTGCAGCTACTCTTGTAATTTCTTCCTAACCGTGTCTACTGGGGCCAAAACTTGTCCAACCTTTCTCACTGGCTCTGCCCTCAGTTTTACAGTCCCCACAGTACACTGGACTGGTCTCAGTATATCTGAGGATCATCTTCTTATGTAGAGATACATCCAAGAGTTATCAACGCAACACGTTCTGGGAAATCTTTAACTATTTCCTAGTTAGAACACATTTGTCAAATGCTCCCTGCTATATGGTGAACTAGCAGGAAGATACTCTATCTTTCTAATACACCGTCCATTCCATGCAACTTACTATAGCAGGTGATAAGACTGGAGTACTAACATGTATGCTTACTGGGCTAACAGTTACCACAAGAGCTACTCTACAAAGTCTAATCCTTCCAAAGAAAATTTTTAAATACAGTGAGGGTCACCAAAATGTTAATAATACAAATGTCATTTTTCTATAAGTAGCATTAGTTAAATTTACAGGCAAGTATGAAATTACATAGAATAAAAGTCTTGTGGTAATTATTTCACTAAAATTACATATATTTGGAAATGAATTATTTTAGGTTTTACACAAAGCACCTTTCAAGTACACAGAAGACGAAGCTTAGATAGGAAAAATAACAAAGAACTTCTAGGTATCTTCTAGTTTGAAATAATAAATATAAAAAAAAGTACAGACCTGGTTTTTTGTAGGTCACATAAATATACAGCCCAAGGACTATGACGTATGTTAACAATGCAGCCCACCAGTTAATGACAAACATCACTATGCAGCAAAGAATTGCTCCAATCAGTGATATCCACATGTTGTAGTATTTGAAGGCAGGACGCCATCCTAAGAATCACAATAAAACAGATACATACAAGTCCGTGAAATACCTTATGTGTTTTAGACAATGGTACATATCTGTGCACAAAATAGCTTTCTTTGTGGCCGCTTTAAACATTCAGTAAAGGCTAATCTGTAAAAGTAAATTCATGGAGCATTATTGAGCACAATTTATTCTCAGAATTTCTGAAGGCCATGAAGAGTGCACATGTATTTAATTCTACTTAATTCTAGGGATCAAACCTATCTTAGTGAATGCTAAAAACTACAAAATATTGAAAGAAGGTTTCAAATTGAGTTTTTAACAGTGTGCCTGTATGTTCTGGATTTTAGCATGAAATTTATCCATATTCTAATGCATATACAAAAGAGTTTATACAAAATTTTCTGGAAAATTGTTAAAAAATTCTTCTAATTGCTAGAAAAATTAACAGTTGGGTATAGAAACTTCTCTTACCATATGATAAAGTATTTATGAATTGAGTTCACTCTAAAAAAATGCTCAAGAACATGTTTTTAAATTTTCATTCCACAGCCAAACTTATTTAGAAATCATTTCAATACATTTCATATTCTTTTTTTTAACTAAACTTTTAATTGTAAAATTACTGCAGAGTCCCACACAATTGTGAGAAAGAATCCAGAGAAATTCTGGGAACTTTTTACCTAAGTTTAACCTCAATGATAACATCTTGCAAAGTCATACAAGATCACAACTAAGATACTGATATTAATACAGTCAAGACAAAGAACTCCAATATAAGCATCTCTCATGTTATCCTTTTACAGTCTCATATACCCATCTCTAAAATGTGTGTGTCCCATGTTCTACATTTTATCTTCCCTGTTCTGAGGGCTTTTAGGTCCTTACAAGGAAAAGTGCTTTTGTTCCTTCAATTCCTCCCCTGATGTCCAACTGTTATGATTTGTAACAAAAAGCCCTCACTGAAAGCAAATGGGGCAGTTTTTCTGTTCCTAGAGACCCTTTACAACACAACTCCACAGAACTTACTGTGTTAAAAATCTTTTTCTGGACAGGTAGGCTGTTATCATAACCATGTTCTTAGAATAAACAATAAAACTGGGAGAAAATAATTCTTTCATAGTATTGGTCAGAATTTGAGATTAACACTATCTTAAATACTTCCAAGACAAGGAACAGTACACTACCAGTCAACTTCACGATAAAGAGACCTCTGAAGACTCCCTTAACTTGACTCTACTTTAAAGGTTGACTGGACATTAATGGGCTAATCACTCACAATACCATCTTTTAAAATGTGTTGAAGTTTTATTTTCTCTAAAATCAAAGACATTAACACATTTACAGAACTTTAAGAAAATGTAAAATCACCTGGAGACTTCGCAAGTGATGCATGGAACACTGAAAAATTGATCAAAGCATAGGATGCAAGGAAGAAGTTAGAGATAATCGGAGCAATAACATTCAGTTCAGCTGCAAAAGAAACATGAGGCATATTTATGGACATGTTATATACTTCATAAACATTATAAAAGTTACATGTTATGTAAGTTTTAAAAAAATGAAATTATTTTAAACCTTTAGATGATAGTGTAAGGAATACCCCTATACCCACACTTAAGATTTAATGAACACTTGCATTTTGCAATATATACTTTGTATACTTCACTTTTCAGAAATTGACCCCTGGGTCCGTAGTTGAACCCTTTATACCTCATTCTTCCAAAGTGGGTATACTTTTCCAGCGAAATTATATAGTTTTACTAAACACATATATAGCCCACAAGTTTTATGCAGTACTGTTTTGGGTATTTCCAAAGTGAGACAAATACTGTATTTATCATTTTGTAATTTGATTGGTTACATTTATTAATTTAAGATTCTGATACACGATACATTCTGTTATATTCTGATATACGAAGATAAAACTTATTCATTATATTTACTCCTCAATATTAGTCTGCAGTTTCATTCTTCTGTTAATAGGTGTTTAAGTTGCTTTCATTTTCTATTATAAAGAACGACACTAAAAATATCTTTGAATATGGTTCTGTGGGCTTATATGCAAGTTTCTTTAGGATATATACTACTAAAGACAACTACTGGACTGTAAGAAACTTTACTCAACATCACTGATTTATTCCCCAAAAATAGCCATACCAAATAGATACCAAGCAGCATTACATTAGAATTAGTTTCCATAATCAGTGGTCTAATTCAGACTTCTAATAGAAGTTCACTGTCATCTTTAGCAGTGGCAGACTCACTTACCTTACTTGTGATCAGAGGCAAAAGTGCCCAAAAGTAGCTCAGGGAAGCCTCTACCTTCAAGAAGAGCACTGAAATTCTTTTCTGTATGCTATCATTTTACTTGTTCTAGGGACAAGAACCTAGGAGTTCCCTCTGATGGTAGTAATTTTTCCAAGCATGTATTGAACACTATTATTTGCAGTATTTTCTATGTACATTTTCATTTCATAAAAAAAAAAAAAACAACTAACTTAGTTTACTAGGCAAAGTAAGGTTTTGTTTATAATTCAATGTTTAGAGCTCATACTATAAATGTTCCAAAATCTATATTAGCACATCATTTGTATGACTAACCAATTAAGATGAATCCAAGGGCAATTAAGAATGTTAAGATGTAGCCACGAAGAGGTTCATTATTTTTCCCATAACCTTTAGCAAACATCTGGAAAGCTGGGTAGATGTTGTCCTTACATAGAGCCTAGTGAAGAAAGGCAAATATGAGAAGAAATATAATGAAGTTAGACACACATATTTCCTTACAGTTATAATAAGTTACTCAGAATTAGAACACAAGTTTTCTACTTCTTGGTCCTCTTTCTTCCCACTGTGTCACACTGCTTTACCTACAAACTATAAAGTAGATCAAACATTTCAAGTATCAAAAGGTAGCTGGTAGAAAACAACACTCAAGTTTTTATCTACCTTATCCTACTGTCATGGTGAAATTCTTTTATGAAGAAATATGTCAGAGAAGTAGGCTTATAAATAAAAGAAATCTGAAAACTTGAGGAGTATGACATAGGTGTGACCTATATCAAGGGAAAAAAGTCTGAATCCTAGACTTAAAACAGATAAAAATCCTAATTATAAAAGTTAACCGCTTTTCCTAAAATTTTACTAAAAATCCTTTTAAGAAATATATTCTACATTGACTCTACTCACTGGCTACAACTATAATATCAAGAATAAGGCTGCAAAGTTAATATTTCATTGGTTGGATCAGTAATAAAAAGTATTTCCTATTTAGTGTTAGCTGTTTACCTAATGTTCATTGAAGGGATATAACATGTGCCTCATTCATCTTTATACCCTGAGTAGCTAACACAATGTGTGGCATATAGTAGGCATTCAAACGTTCATAAAACATACAGGCTGTCATCATGCTAAGGTGCACAAGGTCCTTTAATTCTTTTGATTTATTCTTGGACTGCATTCCTTACTCTTAGTAAGACACTATACAAATTTGTGCAATGAGAGTATATTGGAAAAACAAAAATCCATCACCATTTGCAGAAAGACAATTCAAGGACTATATCCTCACAGCAGGCAAATGCACTCATGTTTATATAAATAGAAATGTTCACAAAATTAAACATACCTATCTTGAGATGTGTGCATATATATATATATATATATATATCATACATATATAAAGGCAAACGAAAGATATACAAAGTTAATCCCAAAGTGAAATTTATTACTGTAACTTCCCTTTCAATAAAGCTTGTAATATGAAAATACCTACCTGAAATATTTTGGGAGCACTCACAAGGGATGCTAATGCAGAAGAAAGAGTGGCTGAAAAGATACCTGCAGAAATTAATGGTGCAAATCCTGACACCATGCTCATTACCTTTAAAAAGTAACAGAAAGGGAAAATTAAGTCTTAACTAACAATTCAAGAAAGAACAAAATACTATACATCTTTATTATGCTAATGAAGGAGACTAGCATCAGGGGAAATATGATAATAACAAACAGTAACGGTTATGTGCATTACAAATTCCTAAAACTGATTAACCAGTAGCCCTCACCTTGCATCTTTATATTTGGTAAAATTTCAGACACATGGCAGACAGAATAGCATATGAACCACCAAGTTCATATCACCTACTTTCAATAATGGTCAGCTTGGGACCAATCTCACATCATTGTGAATCAAACCCCAAACATCACTTAATAAATAAATGTGTCAGTATGTACCTCTAATCGGTACAAACTTTTAAAAACTGTAACTACAACGCCACTGGCACAGGTTAACAAGTATTTCCTTAACATCACCAAATAGCCTATCACCATTCATATTCCCCAAGTTGTCTATCTTTTCTTGCCTTTTTAAATAGTTTGTTTAAATGAGGATCCACAAAAAGACCACTCATTACATTTGGTTGAATATTTCTCTTAAGTCTTTTTCAATCTGCACGTTCACTGTTTTCCTTTACATTTTATTATTTTTAAGCCATTCTCTTGTAGAAGCCTCTGTGGATTTTGCCAACTGCACCTCCAACTTGTGTCATCTAACCCATTGCTCTCACCTCTGTATTTCTAGTGAACTGACAGATCTAGACAGTGCATCAGAATCAAGTACAAGTTTTCTGGCAAGATTATTTCAAGATGGTGCAATGCACTTCTATCAAGAAGGCTGTTTTTCTTTCTTCTTTCTTCCTTTCTTTCTCTCTTCTCTCTCTCAGGTTGTTTTTTTCTCTTTTCTTTCCCTCCCTCCCCCTTCCTTCCTTCCTTCTTTCCTTTCTTCCTTTCTATGAGATTGGCATTGTGGTTATGTTTTTTTCTTTTTAAAAAGAGACCTCAACATTTGGAGCCTAATGTGGAAATATTTCTCCTTGAAAGGATGTAAGTCAATGATGTCTTTAAATAATGTGGGAAGTAGGAAGTTATAAATAAAACAAAGTCAGCCAAACATGGGCGATTGATAAAAGCTGATAAAGTACATTACACTATTTTCTCTATCCTTGTATGTGTTGAAATATTTCCCTAATGAAGTTTTAAAAAAAATAGATTGATCATTTAGATCATGAGAAGACAACCAGATAAATCCAAACTGAGGGGCAAAACACAAAGGAATGAGCCTGTAGCCTTTAAAACAGCAACACCCTGAAAGATTAAAACAGGCATGCTGGAAACTCCTAGATTAAATGATTTTAAAACAACACGGTGACTAAATGCCATACGTAACATAGATTGGATCTTGGATCTAAGAAAAATAGCAGTCAGGGACATTACTGGATCAGGTGGGGAAAATGAAGATGGAATATATATTTAGGTAATTGTACCTCAACAACAATGACTTCCTGAAGTGGGAAAAGTATACTGTGCTCATATAGAGTATTTCAAACAGTTCAAACTGATGGGCATTTTATGATGTATATAATTTATTCTCATATCTTTGAGAACAAAAAGAATGTACATATATACAAAGGTAAAAGCATGGAGTAAAATATAAACATCTGGCAAATTTATGTGTAGAGGTAGGTATACAGGTATTCATTGCACTGTTCCTTCCACATCTTTGAAAACTGGGGAAAAAAACAAAACTGAGGAGGAAAAGTTGTCTGAAGGATTCAGGTACTGTTCACCTGACCCATCCATTAAAAATTCTATCAGGAGTGAATGACGATCATCACTTAGATTCATTTCTTCCTTAGTAGAGATTTACTTTTCACTTACATTGACCAAGACTATGCCAACTAAGAAGGAGACAAGGAAATACGGTTTTGAGGTGTTTGTGACTATTTTATCCCTGACTGTAATTTTATACTTTAAACCAGATGTAAAGTTAGCTACAGGCACAATCCCTGGCCTTAACGTATACATCTGGTTTCATGTGTTGATCGTTCCACCATGTTTCACCTAGTATCTTTCCCTTTCAAAAGACTTAGTATTAAAAATGAAGAATACATTCAAGTGGTTCAAAAAATATCAGCATTGACCTCTCTAAGCATTTCATGGAGGGGGAAAAAACTTGAAAAGATGATTTTCTATTCAGCCCAGTCACAATTTGGTAGTTAGATACATGCCGTATGTGTTTCACAATCACTGTGTTTCATGGTCATTAATACTAGATGGGCACTGCCACTTCTGCCTTTGGGGAAGGAGATTATAAAGGACAGATAAGATGGACCAAGGTAAAAATGAACAGACTTGATTTCTGCTATATACACTTTTCAAATCCAAAGTTGTGTGCCTGTCCATAATGATCTCAAAGATAAGTGCAAAGACAGGAGATAAAGGAAAAAGAAAAGCAAAGAACAGAGAATATGATACACTGCTGGATTAAGGCAAAACAGACACCACAAATATTACATATAACCATAACCTTTCATCTGTGCTGTTTTGAGGAAAAAAATCACTTTTTCTCTTCTTCCACCACATCTGAATTGAGGTAAATAATGTTCCATGCTTAGCATCTAGAAACACTATGCTTCTAGGATTTGCTAAGTTTCCTATTTTCTAGTCATATATTTACTCAACAACTTCTGCATTTACCATCATTTTAGGATACAATATGAATAGCAAGGATAATGATAATGAATGTACATAATGGTAATGTCAGTGTTGTCCATGATGGACACAAAGATGACAAAAATAAAGGTCTTCTCTCTAGTAAGAGAAAAAAAGACAAAAGTCTAGTAAAAGGTAGAAGAGTGGCAAGTAAAACAAATGATAAGATTTTAAATAGGGGAAATGTGTGTGTATGTGTTGATGATGTGAGGTTCAAGAAAATCTTGAACAGCAAAGAGGCTCACACTTTGTTTACTAAGCAATGGTGAGTCAGTGGTTTCAGAAGACATATAAAATGTAGAAATATATGTAAAATTAAAAATTAAGGACAAGTAAGGTGGCCCAAATCACTTTTCCTCCTGAAATATGAATAGTCAAAGACATGCACAATGACATTATCAAGTGTGGCTTTGGGTGGATTTCACGATCAGTCTCCAAATTACATGCTCCTTAGTTATGGTCTGTGGACCATTCTTCATTCTCCAAATAAAAATGAGTTTGTACTTTTACAGGATTTTATTTTTCGTTTTGTTTCACTCTGCAAAGCATTTAAAAAAATTTTAAAGATTTATTTAGTTATATTAGCAAAGCAGCTTTACATAAACCAAGCTGTTCTTTGCTTTACTGAGTCTATACTAGACTTGATAAAGACAACACACTTTTGTATTTTAAGGCCAACAACACAGAAATCTGATTGGCGTTTTCAGTCACTGGGCAGAGATCAACATTTGTGCCTTTCATACACAATATCAATGTCAGAATTGGCCTGGATCATTAGCTGGGTATGAATACTTTCTTTCATGCCTACGACTATGCCTAGTCTTGTGACTAGAAAAAAACAAACTTTTGTTATATAATTGGGTTCAATATTTATAACCACTGAAAATGCAGACAATTGCTGAAACTACAAAAAAATTTCTATTAAAACGTTACAAAATTTTACTCTAAAATTTCACTCTTCTACATGAAATTTATACTGTCCTAAAATATTAAATTATAAATCCTCAATTATTCTCTTTACTATAAGTACACTATACTATAAAAACACCAGGGAACAAAATTTTTACTTTTTCCTTTGATTTAGTATAATCTTCTGTTTGTAAATACTCACAAATTTTACAAAAATTTCATTTTCCTTTTAGAACCTTGTAGAGGTAATAGTAAAAGGAAGAAGCACTGATATCTTCCAAGTACTGGACAAGTAGTATTATCTTTTATACAGTTCATATGTTTTAAAAGGTCACAAACTTTCAAGCATCCATTAAGAACTTAATTCTGGGGGTGCCTGGGTGGCTCAGTCAGTTAAACATCTGACTCTTCATTTCGTCTCAGGTCACGATCTCACAGTTCATGAGTTCAAGGCCCATGTCAGGCTCTTTGCTGACAACGCGGAGCCTGCTTTGAATTCTCTCTACGCTCTTCCATGATCTCTCCCCCTCTCAAAAGTAAGTAAACAACAGTAACAACAATTTAATTCTGTTGTTCAATGGTAGTTTAGCACAGTATGACTATATGGGCCTTATCTAACTAAATAACACTATTGACCATCATCAGTGTTTTTTAAAAGGGAATTTATATATAAAGCAATTATGAAAACATCTCTAATTAGAAAACCAAATTCACTTCAAGTACGGATTTAAAAAACTCAAAATAAACATTAAATACTTGTGTAAATCTACAACACACATAGAAGATATGTATTCTGAAAACTACACAAAGCTGATGAGAGCAACCAAAGAAGACCTAAATAAATGGAGAAACATACTGTGTTTATGGATTCAAACACTCAATACAGTGAACATGTCATTGTCCCTAAATGGATAAACAAGTTTAAAACAGTTCCTATCAAAATCCTAGCAAGACTTTTTTTTCAGATAAACACAAAATTGTTCTAGAATTTTTATGGAAAAGCAAAAAGAACTAAAATAGCCGAAACAATTTTGAAAAAGGATAAAGTGGGAGAAATCAATCTACTTGATCATAAGACTTACGATGTAACTAATCAAGAATGTATGGTACTGGTGTATGGATAGAACACAATAGAGAATGTAGAAATAGACCCAGCAAATATGACCATGTGTAAGATGCATCCTTGTTTTCTGAAACTATACACTATATATACATACTATACATTATACTCTAATATGTGTTACCCTTGTGAGCCCTTTTGTTCTTAAAGAGTGTCAGATTTAACCCTTTAATAATTTTTCTATGTCTCCAGTTAGTTATCTATAGATTTTTCTAACAGCTATCCGGGTAGAAAATAACAAGAGCCTTCCCTTCTAAGTTAGTGCTGGACTTTGAATGTCCAAATATGATAGCAGTCCGACCTCTAGATAAATGTCTGAATAATATAAATATGATGCTCACCTGGAAATTGTTCATTAGGCCATAGGAACAAGGGCTAGTTTCACAGGATGAAAAGTCGAAGTTTAATTTACAGGCTGCAGAAGTACAGTTTGTTAGCTCTGTTATAATGGTGTCATTTACGTTCCCCGTGGCATCTCGAACAACACAAGAACCTGAAGTGCAAGGGACAATAAGAACAAGAAAGAGAGCTCAAATTTATATTCATTTCAAAATTACATATATCCATAAAGCAGTTATGGTACTGAATATACACTTCTTAACAGTACTGACATTTTCAGCATTCACATTTCAGCGTTTATAGTTTAGATAGATTTACCTGGCCCAGAATTTAAAAAGCATCATGATCTCCAATATTTTAGTGAAACAAAACCTTATTAAAAACTAATATTTCACGGGGCGCCTGGGTGGCTCAGTCAGTTGAGCGTCCAACTTCGGCTCAGGTGATGATCTCACGGTTCGTGGGTTCGAGCCCCGCATCGGGTTCTGTGCTGACAGCTAGCTCAGAGCCTGGAGCCTGTTTCAGATTCTGTGTCTCCCTCTCTCTCTGACCTTCCCCTGCTCATGCTGTCTCTATCTTTCTCTCAAAAATAAATAAAAATATTTAAAAAAAAAAAAAAAAACTAGTATTTCGCAAACACATGCTTAAAAACCCTGCACATATAGTTGTGGAAAATGGTAATGAGCAAAACTATCTCTACACCTATTTGGCTTAGGTGTCCTTAAGCAAATATAAACACATTGTGTTGAAAGAAATCCAAATGGCAGAAATGTTTTCTTGCTCCAACTATTTCATATGTGAAACATGCCAAAGATCACACCTCAGGTAATATCAATCTTCTGTGAAGGAAAGCAATTTGAATATCAGTGAATTATAATTCCATTTAAACTTCTGGCTCAAGTAAGTCTACCCCGATATTAAGAAAAGACACGATTACTGGAGATTTGATTAAATAACTCATGAGGCAGAATAAATGGGTATACGTGAAACAAGATTAATTGTACACTGTTAATTCTTGATAACTTCATTTAAACTTGGTGATCGTTCATTAGAAAAAGCTCTCTGCTTTTGTGCAAAATTGAAAACTTCTATTATGACATTTAAAATTTTATTGATAAAAAGCATTTAATTAATTAGAACATATGATGTGTAACTGTTGGTAATTACCATTCCTTTGACTTCATATATTTTTACTTTTGAAACACATTAAAACTCTTGTCACATCATATAGGAAGTAAAAACAATAAACACTGTAGCCCAAAGTAAAGAACAAACAGAAAATTAAGTTTGAAAAGGAGAACATATTAATGATTAGATAGCCAACATCAAGTCCCTTTTGTCCTCAATTTCTTCATCTAACTCTCAGAGCAGTGTTTGCAAGAACCATCTTTCCCTCAAGGTACTTGTGAAACTATTTGCGTGAGAGGAGAAGAGAGCCCTGTCTACCCGAAAGCAGCTATGCTTTTAAGTGTTTCGGTCTCATGTTCTACATGGAAGCAATAGGGTGAAAAAAGGTTGAACGAGTTACACCACCACTCATGTAGGCTGGTCTTGCTCCTGACTGTCAGGGAGAATGGACACTCCATGGGCTAATGTGGACAGAATGAAAGGAGTATGACGGTCAACAGCATTAGGGAGTCAGGTACCAACAGAAAACATGTCTGTGCTATAACTATTTTTCAACTTGAAACGTAATCAGTTATATCCTTCTTTAAATTAAAACTAAATTTTCTTGGGCCATAACTTTTAGGGGAACACAAACATTTTGCTAAGCTTATATATATAATTCTTTTTTCTAAATGAATTTTTAGAGATTTACATATATATAGACTTGAAAGAATATATGAAATCCAGCTCCTTTACTAAATGTGAATTTAGCCCACCATGATAATATTATTGTCATTTCCAATTCTTGTTTAATGATGTTTCAAAATTACATTTAGGCAAATTAGCAGGAGAGTTTGTAGAAAGAGTTCTGTCATTACTCCACAACAAATCACTGAGTATGTGACAAAAATACAATTTTCTTGGGGTGTGTGGGTGGCTCAGACAGTTGAGTGCCCAACTTCAGCTCATGTCATGATCTCACGGTCCATGGGAGCGAGCTCCACATCAGGTTTTGTGCTAACAGCACAGAGACGGCTTCAGATTCTCTGCCTCCCTCACTCTCTGCCCCTTCCCCACTCATGCTCTCTCAAAAATAAATGCACATTTAAGAAAATTTTCTTACTGCAATACTATGAAAACCTTTTATTCTGTGTTCTATGATTCTGGAGTTTGATTCTTTAGACTGGTATTAAACTAAGCTTTATTCTTGTAATATGCTTCGGACATCTAACTGGAAAACTTGAGTCTAGGCATTAAAACAATGCTTACAATTCAAGAATATATGTTTTCTGGGTAAAGAAAACTCACTTTTCACTTTTGTGAAAGTGTAATGAACTCAATTCAATTTATCTACATGTAAATTATAGGTAAATCGATACTTACTTTTTTTTCTGGATTAGGATGCTTTAGTTAATGAATCTACTTTACTAATATCCTTTAAAGAATTCATTATAAAACAAAACAAAATCTCTTTTTGCCGAGAAAAACATTCTTTAGGGGTGCCTGGGCGGCTCAGTCAGTTAAGCGTCCGACTTCGGCTCAGGTCAGATCTCACAGGTCGTGGGTTCGAGCCCCGCATCAGGCTCTGTGCTGACAGCTCAGAGCCTGGAGCCTGTTTCAGATTCTGTGTTTCCCTCTCTCTCTGCCCCTCCCCCACTCATGCTCTGTTTCTGTCTCAAAATAAATAAACTATAAAAAAAAATTTAAAAAAAAAGAAAAAAAAATTCTTTAAATCAAGTGTTAATTATCCTTGGTAGTGAGATCTCTAAGCTTTCATCCAGTTTTGTGCACAAGAGTGATTTAGAGACTGGCTGACCACTTAAGTCCTTACAAGTTCTAAAATGCCATGATTCCATGAATGTAATAAAAGGTTTAAAACCATTTTCATTCAATTTAATAAGAGTTTAGCAATGCTTTTCATTTGATCCAGTATATCCGGTTTACCAAAATTATTTTTTATGATAGAAAATGCCAAATGTTGTTTAAATGTCTTGAAACAGTCTTCATATGTAGTAATATTAACATGCAAATATAAAATAACCATAAACAAAATTTTTAAAAATTTTATAAAGACCACAAAGTTAAATGCATTTATTTCTACACTAATGAATTATATTTTCTATAAATTGTAGTTCAGTGAAATTTAAGAGTTTGCAAATAAGACTTTACATAATTTTCTAACTTACTTTAAAAAAATCTTAGAGAAAAAAGAGAGCATCTGTTGTTTAGCTAATGCCTATAAAATCATTACTACTTTACTTAAAATTCTTTCTGAATTAAAATATGTAACTCTAAATCTTTTTTAAAAATATTTCCAAATTTAAAAGTTAAAGATATAAATGTCATGGAAATAAATACTTCAAGTATGTACATGTTGAAATTTCTGAAACACATAAAAACTATATGGTTATTTACCTACAGATACTGCAATTCCTATGTAAACCACGGTAGTTATTAAAATGGCTAAGAGTGTTCCTTTGGGTATGGCTGACTGGGGATCCTAGAAGGCAAGAAAAAAATTTTAAGTCTACTTTAAAAAATAAATAAATAAATACACATATACTATTTTTTATATGAAGGTACTTTGTGATACTTACCGCAAGATCACCTGAGATATTTGCTCCAGCAAGAATCCCAGTTGCGGCAGGAAAAAAGATGGCAAATACAGAAAAGAAAGTCTCTTCCTCCCGAAAATCCGGTCCAAAGTTCTCATTAAATATTTCAGCTGTGGAGAACAAAATGTCTTTGGCAATTAATGGAGAGCAGATTGCACCATTATAATTTGGGTCAAGTGTGAGTGGTACGTAAACATGAGCCCTCATTCTTCTTCAGTTCAAGTCACTGGTAAATTCTTAAACACTTCCTAGTTGAAGTCTGGCATTCTTCTTTTCTAATATGAGGGAACATTTTATAATCAAAATGATGATTTGACCTGGCTTATGCCTACTATTCCGCATACCTTACTAAATATGTTTCAAGTACCTCTAACTTGATTATCATCACTAGTCCAAATGTAAATCAAAGCATGGATAAACTTCTCCATGTCTGGGGGGTCAAGGAAACAAGAAAGGAGGTAGAAAAACACCATCCTAATAGGGAACCATTTTTTTCTTACATTCAACCTACATACTACCTGTATACCTTTCTCTCTTTCCTAGTGCTGTCCTGTTTATTTTTTGATGCTCAACAACTCATCAGGCTTCCACAGAATTTTAGCTAAAACAAACTAAGTAAAGTCCCTTTCCATTCTAACAATAATCAAGGCTGTAACTATTCCTACTGTTTTCATCTATTATGATGGGCCCTGACACTGAAATAACCCATTAACTGTCATTTAAACTTCTGCCCATCCGTCTAGTATCTGAGTATCTGCCAAGCGCCAAGTTCAAAATTTGAGCCATCTGTTATCTCACTACCTTAGTAAAATGAGTGAGAGACCGCAAATCACCAAGAAAAAAAAGGGCACATTCTAAAATATATTTAGATTTATTTACTTCAGACTGAGACAGATCCAGAAATGCTACTTATACATTATTTATTATTACACTAGATAACTATGCAATACTTTTGTAAAGTTGCCAAGGATCTGAAAGATGAGGAAATGAAAAATGTGGCCTAACAGCTATTTGTAGCTATTCTGAAGTCAACCTAAGTCACAAAAAGAAAATATATAATTACTAGGAATATTTTTAGAAGTAATCATCCACTATAATTTTTAACCTCTCTTTTAGAAATAAAGTTGCAAAAAGAAATGTTCAAAAAATTTTTATATCCTAAAAACTTAAGTAAAAAAACACTTGTAATTAAAATAAATGTCACGATTTGTGAGAGCATAAAATACAGAAAAGGAACTACCTAAGTGATGCCACTAACCTTCACTTCTGGCATTCCTAGTAGTCACCTGTTCCCCCAATGTAGAAATATAGAACTTAAAGCCCAGTTTAGAAGTAGGCATGAAAACCAGTAATAAAAACAGGTATTACACTATCACCTAGGACCAAAAGGCACAAATAATGGATGGGTGTCACTGGCTCAGGTAAAATCCTTGGAATGATTCCTATCAGAAAACCACCCAGCCAACTAAGTCAGTGTCTGATAGAAGCCTAACCAGTGGTACTCACAAATGATCTAAGGTCTGTACGTGGTTATCAGTGAGCTTACACCAGACTGTAGACCAGCTAGGTGTCTAGTTTCCAGTTTGGGTTGGCTGATTTTTGTTCGCAGTAAGACTTTGTAAAGGAAGAAATGGAGTGATGTACATTCTGTATCTTTTCACAGATCTGTGGGAGCACCTCTGGGTTCTACAATTCTGGTGGATAAAAGCTAGGTCTCTTCTAGGGCTGTAAAACCAGGAGTTTCGGTCAACTGAAGACAAGTCTCTCTATTACTCTAAGTGGTAAGTCTCTCCTATGCTGATGCAACTACTGTTTCCTGCTCCATTTTACCCTGTGGAGAGGGGTTCGGTTGATCCAGTAGGTGGGGAGTGCAGGTGGAGGGGGCAATACAGAGACACTTTGGGAAATAACAAATGGCAAGTACATTTCACTAGCAGTGACAATCAGATGCAAAATGGAAAGGGTTATGGAGGCGAAAACCATCGAAAATTCTTACAAATTCTACTGCCTCACAATTCTACTGTCTACTGTAGAAAAACTTAAGTTGCAATTACACCAAGATATGAGGATTTCTTTCACAGGTTTAGGCACTTTGAGACTGTTGTGTTCAAACACAAACAGAAGAATGAAAAAGGCATGTGAAAACAAAAGTTACCATTACAGGTACAAAGTCCCCAAATTATAGAAAACAAAAGCATCTTTCCTCAGTAGCTCTGATTTTTCTACATTCTGTCATCTTTTGTTGCTACTAATGAAAAGCAAAAAGGTTAAATAATAGTGGTATTTTACTCTGTAACATATGTAAAGGAGACACTATTAAATTGGACTGTCAATTAGTGTAAGTGACTATACCAAAATCAATTCTATTGCAAAGAATCTAAAATATACTAATGTTACTTACTAACAGAATGTTGTAATAAGCACCTTTAAAAAAATTCTATCTTTTTTACTTACACTTATAACCAAAGAAACCTTTGGGCTTCTTGCTGTCCAACGGGATGAATGTTCCTATGACGAAATCAGCAATAGCAAGTAGTAGAATCACCAAAAGAACAATCTGAGCCTAGAAATTTTAAACATTAAAAATCAAAATCAACTCTCTCATGTCTATACACTGATTCAGTTTCACCACCATATAACTTCCATGAGGGAAAGGATTTTGGTCTTGTTTCCCCAGTGCCTCAAACAGTGCTTAGCACAAAGCAGGTGCTCAATAAACTTTTACTTTATAATTTAAAAAAAAAATCTTTTTTGAGAGAGAGATAAGGCAAGAGAGCGTGAGGGAGCAACAGAGAGCGCATAAGCAGGGGAGGGGCAGAGAGGAGGAGACACAGAATCCAAAGCATGCTCCAGGCTCCAAGCTGTCAGCACAGAGGTCACGGTGGGGCTTGAACTCATTAACTGCGAGATCATGACCTGAGATGAAGTCAGACACTTAACCAACTGGGCCACCCAGGCAACCCTCAATAAAGTTTTATTAAATGAACAGCCTTTGAAGAACTACTTGAAAATGTTCAATACGCTAGGAAGAAAATGGATAGCAAAAGTAGAAACAGCCCACAAATTTCCAAAATGAATTAAAGATGTGCATGGCCCCTGTAAACCAAAAAGCACTATAAATTCCACAATACTGCAGCCTTTTCATCCTTTGTGGTTATTTACCACCCCCTCCACCTTAAGTACAATATTGACATGGGGAACATATCTGCTACAAACACAAGTTTTACACCAAGTCCAAAGGCAATAGTGAATGTGTGACAGCTATAGGAAAAATATAAGGAAAAGTATGGAAAGAAGACAATATCCAGGAGGAGGATCTAAGTAGTAATGGATCTGGGGGAATAATCTATGAGAACTACCATCCTCCTTCTGCACTCTTTTTGTTTTGTTTTCGTGAGACATAATTGATGTGTAGCAATGTTTTAGTTTCTGGTGTACCATGTAATGATTCAGTATTTATACACATATAATTGTGAAATGATCATCACAATAAGTCTAGTTAATATTCATGACCATACATAGTTAAAAATTTGTGTTTTCTTGTGATGAGAACTTTTAAGATCTACTCTTTTAAAAAAGAAACTTTCAAATATGCAGTAGTGTTAACTATAGTCACCATGCAGGACATGATATCCCTGTAACATTTATTTAGAACTGGAATTTTATACATTTGACTCCCTTTACTATTTTGCCCCCTACCTCTCCTGCTCTACTCTTAACCTCCCAATAAAGTTGAGCAAATACTCCAGAAAACCTATGTCATCTGTGAGAAGAGAAACTGCTTAAATGAGAATGATGTTCCAGTTAGTATGAAATTCTATTATTTTCAGTAAAGTCAACTGGTTAAACATGTAAGTAAATGATTTAATTTCATACTAATGATTTTTTTTAAAATAACCCTTATTCTTTCCAACTTTCCTAATTTTTGATCTGGTAAACATTATCATTGCTCATATATAGCACAGATGTGTGATCTTACACAATTAATAAAAGGAAACATGAAGAAATCTAGAAAAGACTTGGAGATCCTCAACAGCATCTGTGTGGATGTGCATTACTCAGGAAAGGAGAGCTGTGTTGAAGAATGTCCTCTCAAAAATACAGAAATAATTCCAGGTGCCCTGCCTACACATTAAAATGTGACTTCACCAATTCTTCCCAGTAACAGTGGTTCTGGCTTAGGTAGCCGGGATTTCTGAGAGTTCAATAGCCAGGAGCCAAGATTAATTTCTCTGATCTCTTATGGCACTAACTTGAAGTTTACTGCCCGTGTTTATTTTCAAAATTGACCTTTTAAATAAATTACAAAGCCAAGAATTTAATATGGGCTCCCTAACATATTGACCTGAGTGATTCTAAAGGATATAAATTAAGATTAGGGGAAGGGGGATATCTGGGTGGCTCAGTCAGTTAAGCATCCAACGTCGGCTCAGGTCATGATCTCACAGTTTGTGGGTTTGAGCCCCATGTCAGTCTCTGTGCTGACAGCTAGCTCAGAGCCTGGAGCCTGCTTCAGATTCTGTGTCTCCCTCTCTCTCTGACCCTGTCCTGCTCATGCTATCTTTCTCTCTCACAGAAAAAAAAAAAAAAAAAAAAAAGAAGGGAGGGAAGATAGGAAGTCAAAAGTTAGAAAGTACTGTGTTTAAGTGGATGCTGGACTAATTGTTATCTCCAAACATTCCTTGTCAGACAGAAGATAACCTGACACATAAATTTCTCTGAAAATGGCCACTAAGGAATCTTCAAAATCTAAATGTATTACCACATTTTACAGTGGTCCCTAAACAAAAGTGAAAGTTCATTTATTAAATATGTACAGATATTCCAATGATGTCATACTTACTTTTGCTTCCCACTCCATTCCAGCTACCGAGATACCTAGAAGGATTACCACTGTAATGGCTCCAATAATTCGGATATCATTGATTTCATCTATCATAAGTATGGAATGTTCCTAGAAAAAAGAGAATTATAAATGTAATGAACCATATTAGCTACTCAGGTAAACTCTTTAATTCTTTTTAAAACATTTCAGAGACATGATACTGCCTTACATGAAGTTCAGTAAATGACTATGGAATGAATAGGGAGGCCTAAGGAATCAATAACTATGTACTACTGAGGTATCATTCAAGTATCTCAAGATATCAAATATGATCAAATTAATAATGCTGTATTTAATATAGGCTCAACAAGTCTAAAATGAAATTGCTAACAGCCAAATAATAATCATAGTATGTCAAAGCAGTTCCATCCAGATTTTTAAAAGAAATATATTTTGTATTTACTATTATTTGCAAACTCATGCTTTTGAAAACGATCTTTTATAACTGCCTAAGAGATGAATAAACTTTCAGGTAGTTGTCCAAAAATACACACACTCTTCCCACTCTTCAAGTAAAAATATTTGTGGTTTAATATCAGTGACATTAAAAACATGCTGGAGTGCCTGGATAGCTCAGGTGGTTAAGCATCCATCTGACTTTGGCTCAGGTCATGATCTCATGGTTTATGGGTTCCAGCCCTGCATCAGGCTCTGTGCTGATGCTTCGGATTCTGTGTCTCCTCTCTCTGCCCCTCCCTTGCTTGCACTTGGTCTCTGTCTTTCAAAAATGAATAAACCATTAAAAAAATTTTTTTTAAAACATGCTAACAAATTAGGTAACATAAAAAGAGGAATTCCTACTAGTTATATTGCCTGCCTTCTTACAGCCCTTACTTTCCTCCATCTCTTTGGCCTATACAGAGAAGGTCAATGCCAATTTAAGTTTCAGTCCTTCTCAGATTTTACACTTCCTAATGTCCTGGATACTACTGTAGAAGAAAGTTACAACCTAACCTAACATGAACAACTATAGGTATTTCTCAAGGTTCTTCTTATTTAAATATGCCAAAGCCTATTTCGCTTGTACTGTTTTAACAACACACATCCCAATGACTTTTTTCAATCATATGCTCTCCTAAACCCCAGAGCAGTATTATCAACTACTTCCTGACCAGCTCTACTGGGATATACCTCCAGGTCCTTAAATGAGACATCCCAAAGTAAATTGTCCTGTGTTGCTATTTCAAGTGAATGCCACTGAGAATTCTGTATATAAACCTGCAATCATCCTTTCTCTTTCTCTAATTTCCCATAATCCCAATAATCAAGTCCACTCATTCAACATTTAAAAAAAAATCTCTCTAGTTTACCACACCTCTCCAGGCCCACTGGTCACTGTCTGAATGTATGCCACCACCCCTTTCCCAGAATAGCTACAACCTTCTAAATGGTCTCCCTCTCTACCTGTGATCCCTCAGATCCATTCTCTACAATGTGGTTAGGTTATTTCTTTAGGCACCAATCTTATCATATTCTAGCGCCCAATTCTCATCTAGATTAAGATCACAATTTAACAGCAAACAATACCTTTCCTGATTTGACCCTTTTTTCTCTGTTTAATTTTAAATTTCTTGCTACTTTATGTTCCAGTCATATAGAAATATTTATAGGTGTCTTGTTTTTTTTGTTTTTTTTTTTTTTTAAACAAACCATACTCTTCCAGGCCTTTGTTTCCTGTTCTCTCCTACTCCCTTCATGTCACACCCCACCTCTCCTACTTGCCTGCTAACACCTAGACTCCCATCCTTGGAAAACTCTTCCTTATGCTACATTCCTGGACATAGGTTAAGTGATTACCCTTTGTGTTGCCAAGGAATCCTACAAGTACCTACTTTTGACATCGTATCATCATTTTCTTTGCCTAGCTTTCATACTAAACTTCTTGAAGGACAGGTTTTACGTCCATCACTGCTTTCCTAGCATCTAACATGGGGAGTGGCACACAAGCCCTCAATAAAGATCTGGGAAACCAATGTCTAAAAGGGGAAATTACCTTAAGAAGCTCCACCACAGTTTCTGCAAATCCAACCACGTACATAGCAACTGCAACAGCATTGGCAAAAGCGAAGATCAGGCCAATAGCACCACCAAATTCTGGCCCTAGACTTCTAGATATTAAATAATATGCTCCTCCTAAAGGAAAGGAAGAAAAAAAGTACTAAAGTTAGGATTTTAAATGTCAAACAATCCTTTTAATCACATAAGAATTCCAAAAGCACATGGATCCTGTAAGACAGTAGTTAAATTAATGAGCAAGTGGGTGAGTATATTTTCAGAAGAAACACCACAAAAGAATTCTTAACAACCCACTTCATTCATTAACAGTTCTCAACACCCAGAAAATTCTGCCTGTATCAAATATAAAATCATCCAGCTATTTAAATCCCTATCTTCTAAAGCTTAGACTAAAATGGGCAACAGCCTTCTGCTCAGATTCACAGATACTAAGATCATCTCCTGATGGTTTTCTAAGTAGTATTTTTAATATTAATGCAACTTTCAAAATCACAGTTGAGATTATTTCAGTTACTTAATCTGGGAATTTGTTGGTAATGTGAATTTAAAGCTAAAAAAATTTCACAAGAAAATGCAAAGAAACATAAGGTGGTCTCTCAAATAGTTTATATTTTAATAAATCTGCCTAAATGCAACAATCAACAAGGACGTGAAATGAACTATCATGAAGCAAGTATTTTTCTAACTTAAATATTAATCAGTATTATGATTTTGAGTCAATCTAATGCTCAGCTAAAGTCTCTAAGAATTCTTCTAAAATTCTAATTTATTTCTGGCCCCTAGGTCATTATCAAACTTAATTTTAATAATAGTGAAGTTACATGAAGTTATATAATTTTCTTTTAGATACTGATGAACGATTTAGTTCCTAAGACCAGATAATGAAATGCCTTTTAATAGTTGAATATGTCTCCTCTTCTCCTAGTATAATAAAGACAAATCCAACAACAAAAAAATCCTATAGTTTAATAAAGTACTAACTTTGTTTTGGACATACCTATAATAGGTTTGATAGTTAAGTCTATCAATTCCTTCAAAATATTCTACTTATTTTAACAATTTTAACAATTTTAACAATTAATAATTTCCACCACCTTGGAAATTCTGAAGAAAAAAAAAATCAACCTAATCTTATATATCTTATGTATTGATTAGTCTTATATGTTTTTTTTTAATCTCATGCTTTTTAAAATTTTTTAAATATTTATTTTTGAGAGACACAGAGAGCAAGCTGTGGAGGGGCAGAAAGAGAGGGAGACACAGAATCTGAAGTAGGCTCCAGGCTCTAGTTTTCATAAACTACAAGATTCAATACTGTTAACATAACCATTCTTCCCAGAAAGACTTTTCAAAAGGTTTATTTATTTATTTTGATAGAGAGAGTGGGAAAGAGAGGCAGACAGAGAGGGTCAGAAAGAGAATCCCAAACAGGCTCTGTGACGTCAGCACAGAGCCAGATGTGAGGTTGGAGGTAATGAACAATGAGGTCACAAACTATGAGATCATGACCTGAATCAAACCCAAGACTCTGACACCTAACCAACGGAGCCACTCAGGCACCCCCAAAAATATTTTTAAGACTGAAATCCCAAAGCCCACTAAGATTTTATATTTTTTTGTTATTTAGCAGGAATTGGGATACATAATTCAAAAATTTATGTAAAAATGCAAAGGACCTAAAAAGAGGCCAAAACAATCTTAAAAAAGAACAAATGTGGAAGACTCGGGAACTATAAAGCTAAGGAATCAATACTAACTTGCAGAATAGGAGAAACAAAACTTCTCAATGAAATAGCATACAGTCCAGATAAAACACACTGATTTTTCAACAATAGCACCAAAATTAATTCAAGAGAGAAAAGATAGTCGTTTTAACAAATGGTGCAGGAACAAGTGGATACCTACACAGCAGGGTAGCGAGAGGAGAAAACCCACAACATCTGTTGCACTAATATTCAAAAGTTCCTTTGAGGGACACCTGGGTGGCTCAGTCAGTTAAGTGTCCGACTTTGGCTCAGGTCATGATCTCACGGTTCGTGGGTCTGAGCCCCGTGTCGGGCTCTGTGCTGACAGCTCAGAGCCTGGAGCCTGTTTCAGATTCTGTGTCTCCCTCTCTCTCTGACCCTCCCCTACTCACGCTGTCTCTCTCTCTCTCTCTCTCAGAAATAAATAAAAAACTCTAAAAAAATTTTTTTTTAAATTCCTTTGATACTGATAGTCAAAAGCCTAAGCTACCATAAAGATTCTAGATAAAGCAAAGCAGAGTATCTTTATGACCTTGGGATAAGCGAAAGATTTCAGGCCAGTATAATAAAAACACTGGCTATACAAGAAAACACAAGAATCTGGTTTCATCAGAATAGTAAGCTTCTGCACTCTGAAACACAGGATTAAAAAAACTATAAAAATGCTGAGGCAAGTCAAAAACTGGGGGGAAAAAACCCATAATACAAATGGCTTGTATTTAGAATATATTTTAAAGACTCCTACAAATAACAAAAAAGATAACACAATTTTAAAAAAGCCAAAAGATATGAATACCTAACAAAAGACAATATACAAGTGGTCAGAAGCACATGAAAAGATGCTTACCATAATTAATTATCTATGAGAATAGCTATAATTAAAATACCTAACAAGCATTGGCAATAACATGGAAAACTATTACGTCTCATATAATGCTGATGGTAGTATAAAACGTAACAACCACTTTGGAAAGCCATTTAGCAATTTCTTATAAATGAGACATATAAGTATCCCACAAATCAACAAATCCACTCAGAGATAATCTCCCAACATGAGTAAAGACATAAACAACCACAAAGACCTGTCCAAGAATATTCCTGTCAGCTTATGATGAAAATACTTTATATTTTGACTGAGCTAGGTTTATATACTTATCAAAATTTACAGAACTGTAAACTTAAAATCTGTATCTCATTACATGTGAGATCATGACCTGAGCCAAACCAAGAGTCAGATGCTTAACCAACTGAGCCACCAGTCACCCATCTGTGAGGGGTTTTTTTTTAGAGGAGATTTACGTAAATTTAATTGGTGGAATGTGAGTAAAGCAGTTTGCCCTCCATAATGTGGGTGGGCCTCACTCAATCAGGTGAAGGCCTGAATGGAACAAAAACAAACCTCTCCCCAGCAAGAGGGAGTTCTACAGCAGACAGCCTTCAGACATCAACTGCAAACACCTTTTCTCTAAGTCTCCAGACTGCTGGTCTACCCTGCAGATTTTAGATTTCCCAGCATCCATTATCATATGAATCAAGTCCTTTAAGTAAATCTTTCTGCACATACACACACACAGGTACACCTTATGGACTCTGTTTCTCTGGACAACTAGTACAAAAATATTACAAGGTACATATACAGAAATCCATCATATTTCCATATACCAGCAAGAAAGACTAAGAAACTAAAATTTTAAAAAGTAACTTTACAATAGTACAAAAAGCAGTAAATAAAGTATAAGTCTAAAAAAATCTTCAAAATCTGTGTACTAACAACTTAAGAACTAGAGAGAGATGAAACAGATTTATGAAATGAAAGCCCTAACGGTTGTTAATTCTCCCCAAGCTTATCTCTTGAACGCAAGTTCAATCTAAATTCCAGCAAGACAGTTTACAGAAATTGACAAGTAATTCTAAAATATATATGGGGTGGCAAGACAGCTAGAATAACCAAGACAATTTTGAAAAAAAGCAAAGCTGAAGAAGCTATAATACCCAACTTCAAGAATTACTGTAAAAGAGGGGCGCCTGGGTGGCTTAGTCGGTTAAGCGTCCGACTTTCGCTTGGGTCATGATCTCGCGGTTCGTGGGTTCGAGCCCCGCGTTGGGCTCTGTGCTGACTGCCAGCTTGGAGCCTGGAGCCTGTTTCAGTCTGTGACTCCCTCTCTCTCTGACCCTCCCCTGCTCACGCTGTCTCTCTCTCTCTCCTAGAGATAAATAAAACATTAAAAAAAATTAAAAAAAAAAAAAAAAAGAATTACTGTAAAAGTACCAAGATGGTATGGTATTAGATTAAGGACAAACCTGCAAATAATGTACCAGCAAAGAGTCCAGAAACAGAGCTACTGTAGGGTCAATTAACTACTTTCCACCTTTACTGAGATGTAACAAACATATAACATTGTATAAGATACACAATGTGACCTTGGTGCCTGGGTGGCTAAGTCAATTAAGCACTGAAGTCTTGATTTCAGCTCAATTCATGATCTCATGGGTTGTAGGACTGAGCCCCAAGTCAGGCTCTGTGCTGACAGGGCAGAGGGTGCTTGGAATTCTCTCTCTCCCCTTCCCCACTCTTGTTTCTCTCAAAATAAATAAGCCATAAAAAGGATACACAATGTGATGTGCTGACACACATACATGTTGCAGAATGTTTACCAGAATAAGGCTAATATATATTCTTCGCCGCACAGAATTTCCATTTTTGTTGTTGTTTTGTGGTAAGTAACAACATTTAAGATCCACTCTCAGGAACTTTCAAGTATACAATACAAATTATTGTCTGCACATTGTACGTTAGATCCTCAGAACTTAATCTTCTTGTAACTTTAAGTCTGACCAAATTACTTACTGGGAGCGACTTGTCTGCCATCTGTTTCTTAGGAGTTTGGCTTTTTTAGATTCCCCATACAAGTGAGCTTATATAGTATTTGCCTTTTCTAACTTATTTCACTTGGCATAATGCCCTCAAGATTCATCTATGTTGTTGCAAATGGCAACATCTCCTTCTTATGGCTAGATAATATTCCACTGTGTGTGTGCATGTATATCTTTTTTTCATGCATCCATTCACTGATGAACACTTAAGTTTTTCCCAAGTGTTAGCTATTGTGAAGAATGCTGCAATGAACACAGGAGTACAAACATCTCTAACAAACAGTAATTTCACTTCCTCTGAATAAATACCAAGGAAGTGCAGTTGCTGGATGATATGGTAGGTCTACTTTTTTTTTAAGAACCTCCATCCTGCTTTCCACAGTGGCTATATCAATTTTCATTGCCAATAGTGCAAAGGGTTCCCTTTTCTCTACATTCTCAGCAGCATTTATTGTCTCTTGTCTTTTTGAGAGTAACCGTTCTAACAGGTGTGAGGTG